CTATTAAATAGGAGGAGGGAACTCATAAGTAAATGTAGGCACACCAACAAGTTTATGCTGAAGAAATGCTTTTAGGAATATTTTATTTTAATTTTAGTTTTTGTTCTTGTATTTCATTTTCGTTCCGTTTCGTTTGATTTTGTTTTTGATTTAGTTTAGTTAAGTTAATTTTATGAAGGAGCTTGTAAGGAAAATATGGATTTAGTAATTTAGTAAGTTATTCTGACACTGATGATTGCATTTGCATGAAACTTTGAGTTTGTAGAATCGTTGTTTTCATTGTATATATATATATGTACGTCTTCCTAAGACTTGTTTTCCTTTCCTAGTTTGTAAGTTATTTTAAAGATTTGTGTATATTCCAGTTGCTTTTAGAACAATTTTATCTCAGATAACGATGTTTAATAAAATGATGCAAAGAACTATTTCGAAGATCTAATCAACACCGACTTTTAATGTGTAGGAGTACAGCAACAAAATATATATATATATATGATTGATGATATACTTATAGCTCATTACATTAGCTCGCGCTTTTTTCTCGAAATGTAGCCCGAGGCGCCGCTTTCGAAAAGAAAGCGGCGCCTGATCGGGCTACTTTGTACTTCGAAGAAATTTTTGACCATTGTTAATCATTTGGCCCGGCGCGCGCTACTTCGTAGCACTTGCCGTCGGGCCATTAACATTTCGAGAAGAAAGCGGCGCGCGCTACTTCGAAGAAATTTAGACGAGTAACATCCGTCAAAGAAATGTAGACGAGTAACATTTGGCATTAACAATGGCATATGGACAACGATCGTTTTTGGGAATTACTGGGCCGCGCTCAGCCTGTCATTCCGCCAAATCTTTATTTAGTTAATGAACATAATAGCCTGGGGTCCTCAGGTAATTTTGGGAAATGAAACTTGGTTACTCCCATTTAAAACAATATCTACTACCACAAATTAATTCAGTGGTCAAAAATACGTCTTTTAAGATGGGTCTGATAATTTTAGAGTATCTTACTTACTTTTTTGCTGTTTTAGCTTTACCTGAGGACCCCAGGCTTTAATGTTGTAGCGCTATGTTCACCTAACCATGTGCTTTCGCGCCACTTCGGGCGCGCTTGTTTCACCGCCGTGTGGCGGGCGCGCGCTACTGCAAGCGCAAGGGCTCTGGATAGAGCAAGCGCTATGCGTTACTGTGCCGCGCCGCGCACTCAATAAGGCTTCTCACAGCGACTGGCTAGATTGGCGAGATGCGCTACTGTGCCGCGCCGAGCTGACATGAATTGACATCGTCAATTAAGCTTTAATGTTGATAAACAACAGAGATAGAGATTAGGCGGAATGACAAGCTGAGCGCGGCCCAGTAATTTTAGCTGCGCTGCAGCAGGGCCATCAAATGAAATGACCACCCTTAAGTTTTACTTCGGACAACCATGGCTATATAGTTACGGCATGTAACCGGCACTTACAGGAAACCGAAGGATCAACTAGTCTAACGCCAGCGACGGTTAAGGTGTTGCCACACTGTCTTTGCCCGAAGCTTCGCTGTATTAATCATGTACAGCTCCTTATTTAACCCTCACACACAACTTCTCGAGCATTCGGCTGAGTAGACCAGGGGTTCACCTCCGATCTAGGTTGACCATTGTTAATGATCTGGCCCGGCGCGCGCTACTTCGAAGAAATTTAGACGAGTAACATCCGTCAACGATCTAGGATAATACTAATAAAAATAGTTTGGAGGACTTCGCCGCTTTGACGCGCCGCGCAAACTAGCATTCTTCGTCGATCGTTGCTCTGCTTCGCAGAGCAACGATCTCGACGGATTGACATCGTCAATCAAAGTAAATGAAATAGTATAACAAATAAATTACGTTAGACTTAGACGTTGACTTTGGAATTTGGTCCATAAGCATATACAGTATAAGATTTCATAATTACATTTTTAGTGTTAAATGTTAAAGGTGGAAACACGTCCGCTTGAAACGATAAAATTGCACAAATTCCTCGATAAATTTTTTTTAAATGGACGAAGCTTACTGGGCGGCGCTCAGCCTGTCATTCCGCCAAATCTTTATGAACATAATAGCCTGGGGTCCCCAGGTAAGTTGAAACTTGACGGATGTTACTCGTCTAAATTTCTTCGAAGTGGCGCGCGCTGCTTTCTTCTCGAAATGGCCCGATGGCACGAGCTACGAAGTAGCGCGCGCCGGGCCAGATCATTAACAATGGTTAAGTTGAAACTGGCTCTATCATCCCACATCCGGTGTCCAGGCCTTTGAAATTGAATTTCAAAGCTAAGTTCCATGTAAAATATTGTATATGATATATTGATTATTGACCATTGTTAATGGTCTGGCCCGGCGCGCGCTACTTCGTAGCACTTGCCGTCGGGCCAACATTTCGAGAAGAAGAAAGAAAGCGGCGCGCGCTACTTCGAAGAAATTTAGACGAGTAACATCCGTCAAATGATATACAATTAATTGACGATGTCAATTCATCGCAACTCGGCGCGGCACAGTAACGCATCGCGCTACAAAATATACGACAAAGAAGATCAAAAATTAAATGGTCATTCATAATGTTAATTTACCTTTTGGGTAGCCAGTATTTTAATTGAGTGCGCGGCGCGGCCCAGTAACGCATCGCGCTTCAAACCGTCTTGTAGTTTGCGCAATCCTCCGCAGACTAAAGTAACCATGGCGACAACTCCAGGTTGCGCGTCCTAAACACGTTCTGCACGTGGGCACTGCTTTATCTACACTTGGAAAGGTTGCACGGTGTCAGTTTACTATTAATAACTTCGACTTCACACATATACATTAATCTCACTTCTCACATCTCAACAATGGAAGAGTTTTCTGTACATCTTGATATGATGGCTTTGTGGTTTGCGACTGTGATCATATTCGCAATAGCCTTCATATGGCTCAACGCCAAGGTGCTCAGGCTAGCGGCAAAAATATCCGCACTGAAAACGACTGTGTCTGTAGTGAAGCAGCCAGTCAAAAGCTGCATCGTCAATATGCCTATGGTCGATGACTGGCTAGATAAACTTAAAGCCTGCTCTGACGGGCCGGTCAAGGCCGACAATAATGATGAGGCGGACCAATACGGCATAAAATGGGGAGTATACGGAAACTACGAACAGTATCCTGTGAAGAACTTCCAGTTCAAGTGTCTGGAAGGCAAGGATCCAAAAACTTGGCCCTTGACAAGTATAGATGAGGGTTCAACTGTATCGACTGAAAGTGGTTCCGTCTACTATGTCTAGGTAAGTTCACATGATATTCTTTAAAAGGCCACGCCCACAGTGTAGCGTCAGCGACAAGGGAGCAATGAGCATTCACATGCTGACGGTTGTTGACCACTTTACTTGACCGTATTCCTTAAAATGACAGAATATTTGAAAGCTCCTTAATTTTATTGTAAGACTAAATGTCATTGGCTGCCTAATAGATGCCGATGGAGGGAAAAAATGTATTTAACCCTTAATTCTTCCCCAGAAAAAAAGGACTCTGATATCTCCGGTTGAAGCCTCGCTCCCGGAATGCCTCTCACAAGATCGATTGATGACGGTTGAAGCTCAGCTCCCGGAATACTGCCGCAGTTAACTTGTCCTGCGATGCCTCTCACAAGATCGATTGATGACGGTTGTAGCTCAGCTCCCGGAATAAGGATTATTGTTACTATAACTATATACCGGCCCATATAATTAATATACCTATATACTAACGGTTCAGGCAACGACTAACTGTTGCTTGGGCTACAGTGGGGGGAGCAGTCAGTTTAGATAATTAAACTGATTGTTCTTCGTGCCAGCCTTCAGTTCTAGTTAGATTCTGTCCTTATATAAGTAAAAGTAACTACGGTCTACGGGTACGGGTGTGGCAACTTTGCCAATATTAATGTATTAAAAAACATTAACTTGTTCCCAAGACTTCATTTGGCAGTGTTATTTAGAAAATGACGCAGCTATGATAGCTATACATTTATCACATGCCTTCTCATGCGATATCAAACGTATATCGACATTTTCAAACACGAGGCTTGCCGAGTTTTAACAATTTTGATATCAACAATTTCAAATGCGATATCAACTTTTTCAAAACTCGGCAAGCCTCGTGTTTGAAAATTTCGATATAACCCTCGGAAAGCCTCGTGGGCACTGGGCGAAAGTTTTGATATCGCATGAGAAGGCATGTGATAAATCTATAATATCGTTAAGTTGAACTTTGTTAAACCACATCAAATGCCCACCCGAACCGGGCCGAAGCAACACTTATTACAGTTGACAGAATTTAAAAAACTGGAGGTCCCACTGCCGCGGATCTGACCTGGCTGATGATCCTGGAGTGCGGGTCTACTCCATATACATATATATTTTTATTAAAATACAATTTACTATCACGTTTCTGTCACGTCTGCTCCTTTATTCGGATGGTTGTAGTATTACTATTCAGTATCCTGTAAAAACTTTTGAATTCAAGTGTCTGCAGGGTAATTACCCAAAGACTTAGCCTTTGACAGAAATAGATGAGGGTTTAATCGTCTCCACTGAAAGTGCTTCGGTCTGCAATATTTAATTATTATTGTATTTATGTAATCTCACACATAAAATTTAAAGTTGGACGATTACGTTGGTCGTTTACTTTGTACCGCTTTATGAATAGCTCCTAATTTTAGTAGAGCACCTTGCATAATAAATACATTTAACTTGTAGTACATACTGAACTGGAAGCCAAATTATGGAAAGAGGTCAAGGGGCAGACCCCGTAAGAACTGGAAGTCCTGCGTACTCGAAGATGCTGCTAAGTTTACAGGTGTTGAAAACATCGACAACGACACAACAGAAGCTTTGGCTACCAACCGAGTACAGTGGAGACATATGTTACGCCGCCAACGCGATGTGTGTGATGCAGGCCACTCCAACGACTAGGAGGAGACCTTACCATGTATGTAACATACTGAAAGAATTATTCGAATTTTGAAATTTAAAACGAAATATATCTTTTCTAAATCACAAGTAAAAATCAAGTTTTCATATAATAATCATAACAATTTATCCCGAAGATTTTAAAATAAATACAGTTAGTATGCACATAAACATATTGACTGAAAACTCAAATATAAATAAATTATTATCACATTTAATAAACCGGAACATCACACAAAGTAAAAGTAGCATTTAAAAATAGAAAGAGGTTTAATATGATTAACTCGTGCGTTTAAAATATTTAAACAAAGATTGTTTTTGATCGCCAGCCTCGGATTGCTCGTCAGTTCTTTGTCTTTTGTCCGAGCTGCTGGATTGTTGGGATTGCTGACCTGAAACAGAAAAATACGATTAAAAACTTCTTATCTAATATACTACAATCACCTATATTTAAAATTAATTGATCTTACAATTATATAATCCATACACGGTGCATTATATTTGCGAAATTCAATAAATTTAAAAAATGAATTGCAAATATGAAGGGACAATTTTAGCATTTAGAAAAGAATTAAAACCTTTGTTAAGACAGCGGTCGATGTGAAGGTTAAAAGTAGTTAAATCTGAGGAGACGAGTTTGCAGCAGATCGGACACGTCCATCTTTTATCTGAGGAGGAAATATAAATACAAGTGAAAGTGAAAGTGAGCAAACAATGTCAAATGTGAATATCTATATTCAAACTACCTGTCTCGACACGAAAAAATGCTAAACTGAGTTATTTTACCGATGAATTTCTGAAGAGCTGGTCCTTCTTCTGAAGATTTCCGTTTCTTTCCTCTCTGATCTGAAGCTGAAGCTCCCATATCCCCCGATTTAATAGACGATAGCGTAATACTCACTCCTGAACCCTTATCGCTGTGATTTTGTTGCAGCCCTGACACAGGTTTGATAATATTCGGTGCCTCCTTAACTTCAGACATTGCATTATCTGGTTCAACAACATCTCCCTTGACGATGCAAGAGTCTACATGTTTATTAAAGGAGACTATCTGAGCGGGAAGACAGGTCCCACACACGGGACAGCTCCAGGTTTTGTTGGAGTTTGAGGAGCTGTTTCGTGTGAAGGAGAGGAGGGAGCTTTGTTTGGTGGAGGTCACGAACTTATTTACTCGCACTCCTGTGAAAATGTGAGAAGTTTATAAGGGCCTCATGTCAAGACAGCAGGATGTAAATTTGCGAGTAACTGTTTGCTAAACATGATCGATCAATTTTCTAAAATTCAAAACCAACTAACCGAGAAGTCTAGCAGAGAGGCGGTGTCCGGGAGGTTTAATCTCGAGCAGTTCCTTCACCAGCTGACAAAGCAACTCCCTAGCCGTGAACTCAATCTCCTCTTTTGTGCTGACAGCGTGGGACTGCGTACGTGACCTCTGTAATATCTCGAATGTGGCTAGTTTCATCTTTACACTCACTGTCTCCCCCTGAGGTCAACATATCAGATATTCAGATATTCAGTTCGGATACAGTTGAGACAAGGCCCAAGGGGGGGGGGGGGGGGGGGGGGGGGGGGGGGGGGGGAGGGGGAGGGGGAGGGGGGTACACTACAAGGGTGACTAAAACATGCAAAATGTCAATTATTCACGCAGGATGTAATGGAAGAGGTAACTAGTTACTAACTACAGACAACAGATAACTGATCAGGTAACTGGTCAAGTAACATACCGCTAGATTCTCAGCTTTAAGTCTGTTCGCGAGGGTTTCTGATAACTCAGACAACATAACCACAATCTCTGGTGTCAGTTTGTTATTTCCAGTGTTCACATTGGTATCGGAGAAAGTGTTCTCTGTACTTATACTCCGCCTACCTTCATCTGATGATACCTGTAATATACATGCCTAAATGTAATGACAAGGAAGTAATGGTCAATACTTTCAGATTTATTCTATTAATAAATCTAGTAACAACTCGTAACACGTTACAGCAACAATATTATTTTGGGGAGTGTCAAGATTATTAGCCCATATCAAGTCTTGTGAATACTGACCTGATTGGAACCAAGTCCGAGAGCGGTATAGAGATAAGAGTGAACTGTGGCGGGAGTGAACAAGTGAGCAAGAGTCCCACGGTGGGTTATCAGATCTGAGACCTTGTTAACACCGAGCGCTGAGAGGTAGGCTTGTTGGACTCTACCGATACCTGGAACCTGAAGAAGTATTCACTATTTATGATATTATGTCGATAGTAGCACGTCAGGAGTTAACAATAATAAATCTGGACCACCGGGTAGATCTCGAATAATATGAAAAAACTTAATCAGAGAAGTGAAATCAAATATATCTACCTTTTTTATTTCGAGCTCTGCGACGAAGTCCATGATAGTCTCGCGATCAGACGGTAAGAAATACTGTCCGTTAGGTTTATTGAGATCAGAACAAACTTTAGCTAGAAATGTGTTGCAACTCAATCCCGCACTGGCTAAAAGGGAGATGTTCTGTGAGATAAACACTCTCCCACTAAATTTCCACAAAAAGTCATCCAAAGGGAGCGGGGGCATTACAGCGGAAACCATCGACCAACGAAAAATTACATAAGTTTTTAGTACCTGTGAGCTGAGTAGTTGTCTCTATCTCCCTCCTCATCTCTTCCACAACATTCCACACCACCCTCTCCCTTCGACACCAACACAAGCCAGGTTTAGAGACCTCATCTCTAGCTGCTCCAGGTTTAGAGACCTCATCTCTAGCTGCTCCAGGTTTAGAGACCTCATCTCCAGCTACTAGAGGTTTAGAGACCTCATCATTATTTGGAGTGTGGGATCCATTCAGATTATTAAAAAGTGGTGGTTCCCCATGCTCAGGACACTCCTCTGGTGATACTGTTCTGTTCTGGACGACATCTGTCAAGTCACAGTACACCTCATCCAGACTCATCGCGGCGAACTCTGAGGTGAACTGAGAAGTTATTTTATGAACATGTTGTTATACTTATATATGTTAGCGAGATTAAGAATTAAAGGCAAATATACTGGATATGGCTAAGGTATTGGATTTAAATCTAGCAATATGTGTCAGAGATTGTAAATACGATAACTTCTTAACCGGTTTTTGATTGGCTCACAGAATCTCACCTTGCCAATAATCTCCATGACCTGACTGCTTACAGCACTATACTTTTCATGATGACCGGGCACTATCACAAGCCCTGGACACAGTTTCTTTGCTATGAAGCCTGGCATCGCTGCTCTCACGCCAAAACGCCGGGCTAGGTAGTTGGAGGTCGACTGAAAGGGAGGCTAAGATTAGCACGCCAATAAAAACGTTTTGATTGTCTTATTTATATCATGATCGCCAGGATTACATTTCCCGTTTATCACGGACAGGATTTCCAGATGATTTGTTTCAGCGGTGGAAATTGAACTTAAATAAAATTGAATGTTACTCTTCAGTCTTCAAAACTGAATAACTTAATATCAAACTCGGGATTTTGTACAGTATAATTATATCATATATGTAATGATCGAAACTTTTCTGAGCTGAAGGTAGCTCCCTGAAACTCAAAATAAAGATCGAGTTGATTGTCAGTTGTAATTTTAGTTGGTAAGTATTTGTCCTCCGAAAAGAAACTCTTTAAAGTAGCTCTGCTGTCCCTGCTCACCAACAAAGACAAGTTATAACTTCTCCTTGACAAAAGCTATCATCAACAACTGCTAGAGCGTTTGATATTTTCCATTAAAATGACTAAAGAGTATTATAAATATACTGCGCTATATATTGGCTAATATACTGAGATACTGCCAGATCACAGTTGGAGATGTTTGTTCGGACCTTATCAGCTTTATCATCAATATTACACCTACCGAGAATTGGCTTGATTGATTTTCTATGCTTGCACAAACCTGCTTTAACAAGTCGACTGTCAAGTCTATAGCTTCATGACAACTGATGTATCAGTTAAGAAGTTGATTTCAGACGACTGTTCCAACTTTCTGTCCCACCGGGTAAGACTTAAAATACAACATTGAAAAACTTGTATTTTGATACAAAAATCAAATATATTATGGATACAACGTGCCTAATAGCCGGTTCTCTTACATAACTGTGTGTAACTTACAATGTGTTGTTTAACGCGTATTATTAATTTATTTCACTATTAGGCATCTTTGGTTCTCGAACGTTTTATACCAAATAAACTACGCTGATTCAAACCAGAGTGCTTTCAAGCCAATAAGTTTACAACTTCTGTAGCGGTTACTTGTTCGAAAGGCAGATTTGTGATGATGGATTTGATGACTAATGGAGAAAATTGGGACATGGAGGAGATAAACTCGCAGTGAAATAATGTCGTCGTTAACACTGATACTACACCTACATCCTACACGTCCTACTCTTATGATATGGAGGGGCAGAGGACACATTGTGTTCCAGTTACAGAGAAAATATAGGCACTTTTTAATTCTGAAATATCTCCGGAGTAGATTTCAGAAATATGCAGATTAAAATTAAATTGGTAGTTTAATCAATTTTATCATTGATAAGACAACTACATATACCTAACAACTTCGTTCTCTTCTGCAACTTCTGCAATGTAAACACACAACAAATATCTGAGGTTCTAGAATCTAACTTGTGGGGTATGTGCGTAATTCATTTTATTTCTGCCATTTGTCCAATCATTTCTTAGATACTTCATTCTCCGACATTATAAAGTTGATTTTTCCTCCCCGTCGAACTTAATTACATTTCAGGCATTCTTCTGCTACTTGGAGACACTATGTGCTTTATCCGACCTGAGAGTGTCCCCCTCCACACTCTCTACCTAGCCATGCTAGTAAACCTCGTATTCTTCGTACAACTTCGCTAAAGTTATCAAAGAATCCAAATCTGTTAGCAACTGCTGACAATAATACTGTCTCAGATCAGGAACTAGTTCTGGTGAGTTAATTGTTGGATTCTACTTTTTTGTGATAATAATCCTCCTACTTAAATACAGGGTGGGCCAAAAGTCATTGGGCATACGTTGGACTTAATAGCTCCGCCGTGTTTTATATCTGAGAGCTGTTGCTTTGCATATATAGCATACTGTACCTTCTTGTTCGAGAATTTTGTCGTCAAAATTCGAATCTTTTAGACCATGCCCATTCATTATTAAAACATCTATATTGTTCTCCCTGAACATGCTGGACGCCTAATTTTTTCAGATACGGTAGATTATTACATGTTGCATCTGATCAGAAAAAATGACGTGAAACGGATTTGAAATGAATGAGTTATCAAGCATTAAGCTTATCTTGTTAGCAAAATTGATTGGGTGATTATGTGACACGACACCTTAATTGGGCTACCCTAAAAATTCCCACTATGTAAATCTGATATCACGTACCCCGTGCTTTAAGCGTGCTACCTGAGCCTTAGGAATTATTAGAGAATTCCTGGCGGAAAATGAATAATGAAACATAACTGTTGCGAAAGGATAACTTTATTTAAAATATGCACACAATCATAAACAACAATAAATCTACAGAAAATGTTCAATATGACCTCCGTTCTTCTCTACGACCAACTTGCAGCGCCGTTTTACTGATCGGCAAGCCCGAACTCAGCTGACGGACAACTGGGAACCTTTCAAGTTTACCTAGTTAACTAATTAACATGCAAGCTTGGGAAATCCAATCAGCTCCGACAACTGGGAACCAATCATTACGTCATATCCCCGACAACTGGGAACCTCTGGAGATACTTTAAACATGCAGGTGTTCACTGATTTCACAGCTGTGCTGTATATATTTCTGCACTAATTAAGACAAAGAATTTTTTCAAGATGATAGTTCAAACTCAACATAATAATTACATACAGAATACATTACTCGATATCAATCTCATGGCCAAAGTATTTGGCGATCTTAAACAGATAGTCAACCTTGCTAGTGCAATCCGAGTATTTGGAACAGATATGGAGCAACTGGTCATTGGAAGTTTTCCTTTTAATCCTCTTCTTAAAAGAAGTTTTTCCAACACCCAGTCGATCGATATGGTAATCAGTGATTACCTGCTGCTCCCGAATAGCACGGAAGTACTCTTGCACGGTCAGCTTGGGTCGATTCACCCTGGATTTAAATCCACGATGGAAACCCTCGACCATGTTAGAGGTCTGGGGAAACTCCGGATCCTCCAACGTCTTCAAATAATGATTCCAGAACGTCAAAGGAAACTTGGGAGGAACCCTCTCCTCACTGTCGACAGTTACTGACCCAAGGTAGGTTTTCTCGAAATAATTTACCACAACCATTAACTGAGGATAGTTATCTTGGATGTAGTATGTTATTTGGTAGAACACCTCCTCAACATCAGCAACTGGGACAAAGGCGAGGAACTCTACTGGAACATCTCTACAGCAGTCTACAATACGTCTTTTCACTTTTTCAGTTCAGGGATGTCATGAGCAGGACCCTCCTTGTAGATTTGATCCTTAAGCCATCCCCAGAAGAAGAAGTCTGGACTCTGGAGGTGTCATTGCATGTCAGGACTACGAGGTGGCCAAGGTTCAGCTAGTCCTTTACCTATGGTTCTGTTGTTAAATTTGGAAGTTATCCACTGTCTGGTAGGAAGATGAGGACGAGCAGTATGAGGTGTATTCCATTAGGTCGGGGTAGAACTTATGGTAAAGGACTCTCGAGTAACGTTGTCCATTTACAATTGCTGTTTGGCCGTTCTGCTCGAAGAAGTATGGTCCAAAGAGGCGGTCCGAGCAGATATCAATCCATATGGTGACCTTTGGAGAATGAAGAGGGCTCTGTTTTACTTCTGCAGGTTTCAGGATGGCTGTAGGACTCTAAGAGTCGATCATCACGTTCCTCAACATGTCAAGGTGGGAGACAAGATCCTGATCGAAGGGGGCTGTTAATTCCTTCGTCGTAGGCCTTCTTCAGTCCGTTCTCCCGTACCCATCTCAGGACTGCCTGGCAAAAGTGGAAGTAGCAGCCGTCAGCCACTGCTGAAGGAAAGACTTCGGAGAGAGAATTTCGAAGCGCCATCTCAAAGTCTACCATGATGCTCTGTGGTACCGCTCTAGAGTCCTCATAGTATGGGTCCTGTAAGGGAGTTCCGCTCTAGAGTCCTACCATGGCGATTTAACTCCGCTCTAGGGTCTCCAGAGCCGCACATTTGAAATGTTAAGTCGGTTTAAAAACCTTTAAATCCATTTGACTAATCTGAACTATTTTATTAGTATAACAAAATCTTATCTTATCTTATCTTATCTTATGAGGATTCGTTGCGACGCAACAAGGCCATCGAATGAGTCGACCACCTTTGTTATTTTACTTCGGCATTACCTGCATTACAATGTAAACCAGCACTTTCAAGGAAGAGCTTTACAAGAAGCCGAAGGATCGTTCCTAAGGCCAGCAACGGTTAAGGCACTATGCCACACTTTCTTCGCCCGAGGCTTCGCTGTGTTGATCAAGCACAGCTCCTCATTTAACCCTCACACCCGATTTCTCGAGCATTCGGCTGAGTGAACCGTGGGGCTACATAGACCACTCGGGATCCTTAGCAGAGCGTCAACGACGCTCACCCCACGACTAGGCAGGCAGTGGGATTCGAACTCGCAATCTTACGATTACAAATCCGATGATCAACCAACTACGCTACCTGGCCGTTCTAAATCATAAACTGTATTATAAAATTGAAAATAAATCTGCACACAATATTATGGAAAGATAAAATGACTCGTTACTGAAATGGACAACGAAAGAACTAAATACTGATCACTATAATGAATGAGTTAAAAGCAATTTAAAAAGATGAGATAGTGGCACTTTGAGAGCTGATAAGACTGATAAATTCACAATACACATGCTTTTAATTTTGAATTTATCCTGTCCCAAATCAAGATTAGTTCGTTGAGATGTTTGCTATATATAATATATATAAGCGTAGGAACAAGTGCCCAGTGAATAAGTGTATGTAGTAGGAAATGATAGGAATTGAAGAGCTGTAAAACTGAGCTGTATAAGTCATTGTATTTCAAGTCTACTGATAATAGTATTTACACACTACCAGCCCTCTCCCTCAATCATCGAAAAGACAACAAAATTGATATTTTGGTGCCTTTCTAGCGTTCATAATTATGTCCGTTCAAACCTATGTCCGATAAGATGGTTAACATTTCCATAATCAGGAGGATAGCTACAATTTAAAGTAAGACGACAGCAGAGAATACCAAGGAGGATAGATGTTCCCGCAAAGTTACCAAGACACAAGAAGTGATCAAACAACAACACTGAAGAAGCTAAAGTGGAGTGAAGTAAGGAACAGTTGTATCATTGATAATACACCTACATACAGGAGGTTGGTTATTATTGACCAGCTGTACCCAATAGATTCTCTCTGACAGTCTAAAGCGAGGGAGCAGCACTAGACAGCTTTACACTTTCAGTGGTGATGGACATTAACAGTGCGTTATTAATATTACTCTTTATAAAGTTGGAAACTGATGATAGAAAGTGGAGGTGAGGAAGTTAGATGCACGATATGGCAGGGTGCCAGGGTAGAAGGTGAGTGGAAGAGAAAATTTGGTAAATTTGACTGATCACCTTTTATTTACAGAGCCTCAACATTACTATTTATTTATCTAGTCACCCTGGACTGTAATTTGGTTGATGTTCAATAAAAGGCATGTTAACTTCAGATGGTAAACTGGCTGTTAAACCTCTAGCTCAATCAACCACTGCAACTGGCTCACTCAACAGTTTACTAATCGCTAATCCGAAAACGTGAGTATGAAAACAGTAAAATAACAAAAAAAGCATTTAAAAATTGAATGGCCCATCAGACCGTCCAGAACATTAAAACAATGTTCAGGTGTTCTGTAAGATGGCAGTATCTCTGATAATACATCTACATCTGAGCTCTGATTGACTCGTGTACACGTGTTTGTTTGGGGACTGGTTTGTAAGCCAGCCAATGTTTATGAATATAATATTAATAACTTTATTACATAATCATAAATATATATCATAAATAGATCAAATCTGAAAAACAAATTTGCACGCAGTTAATAAATTTATAAAAAAAAGAAAATGAAAAAAAAAGGTTTATTGCTAAAACAAAATATGGAGCACTCTGTGCTTCCAACAGCCCTTCAGACTCGCGCTAAGTTTGTTAGGGACTGATTTAGGATATCGTAGATATTGCTATGCCATGCCATTAGTTTGGATATGTAGTGTTTGTGATTGTTGAAATCAATTAATTACGGTTTGTGCTGATAGGAAAATAGTGATAGTGGGGAATGTGGCAGTGTAAATATGGACCTGGAATTTAGGATGTGTGGCTTATCCATTAATATTAGTTGCCGCTAGTCTGTGATCAGTTTGTTCTGGTTTTTTTGTGTGCAAATATATATTCATAGTTTATTTTTGTAATATCATATAATATATAGTACTTAATAATAACCATATGACTAATAACTGATTAACTAATTAACTAATTAACTAATTCACTAAACTGATATAATGACCGTTGTGTCCAGTAACTTTCAGACACGTTGTGACCTTCTTAGACCTGGGATATTATGTAATAAGAAACTGGGCCACGTGTCATCGTCATTTTCACTCTGCAGGTTCAAGAGCATGCGTTTTGTAGCCGATTTAAAAAGGTTTATGGAAAAAAGTGTGGGTAGGGTGCTTACATTTGCATTTACAGCATAAATTGAGAGTAAAGGTCCTTTGAAGAACATCGAAGATCTGAAATGTGTGGTGTTGTACTCGGCTAACCAGGATGCTGCAGTCACGTGATCTGAGTTTGCAGTGGGTGCATTTTCTGGGATAGTCATACAGATTTGTTGAGGGACTGAGCTGCGGAAATGTTTGATTCGGTGCATGAGAATTAGTGTGTTTTTTACAATAACACTGTGCACCGTGAGTATACCATTGTTATTGAAAAATTGTTTTGTGTGTTCTGGCAGTCGACCGTCTTTGTAAAAGTAATTAATGTGACCTGGCATTACTGCCCTGATACCCTGTTTTTGTCGTGAGAAGAGTGATTCAATGTGATTTTTTGCTGCAAACCCCCATACAATTGAACAGAAGTTTAAATGCGATTGAACAAAACTTTGATATATCTGTAGCCTTATTTGAATCGATAGGTGACGTTTTATTTTATACATAATTCCTACATACCGCATCATTTTTGATCTAACAGCTGCTATATGCTTAGACCATGTTAGTTTATCATCCATTATAACGCCAAGGAACCGTGTTTCCCTTTTACGTTCTAATTGTGTGTCTGCAATATGAATATTTGGAGTATTATCAGTATTTCTAACACCGAAAAGCATATAGCAGGTCTTTTTTAGATTAAGTGCAAGTCCATTACAGTCAACCCAGCGTACAAACTCGTGGGAGAATTGGTTGAATTTTTGTATAACATCGTTTGCATTTTTGCCTTTTATTATGATGTTCGCATCATCAGCGTAGAGTATAAACTTTATCATACTGTTGATATTTGGCATATCATTGATGTAGATTAGGAATAACAAAGGTCCCATAATACTGCCCTGTGGAACTCCGTATGTAATAGGTTTAAGAGCTGATTTAATACCATTCAAACATACATATTGCTGACGTGTGCTCAGGTAGGATTTAAACCATTGCAAAGCTTGCCCACGGATTCCATAGTGCTGGAGTTTGTCAATCAATACATCATGAGACAAAACGTCAAAAGCTTTACTAAAGTCGACTAGGAGTAATAGAGCAACTTCCTTTTTGGCAAGGGAATTCAGAATCGTGTGTTGAGCATCCAAAAGAGCATGCTCACAGGATCGGCCTGGCCGGAAGCCATATTGCCCTTCAAAGAGCGAGCCTTTCTTGTCAAGGAAGTCCATTACTCTATTATGCATAAGTTTTTCATACAATTTGGAAAAGGTGCACAGCAAAGATATGGGTCGATAGTTAGTGGCGTCGGATTTGCTGCCTCCTTTGTGAATTGGTATAACTTTAGCTATTTTGAGAGATGATGGGAAGATACCTTGACTAAATGATGTGTTAATGATTATGGACAAGACTTTACAGAAGGAGGGGCAGTCTTTTACAATTTTTCTTTTACAACACTCTCAGAGCACCTTATTGTCAATAAATACGATCCCAAAACAGGTTACCTTCGACAGACCTCTGAATAAAATTGGATTTCGAGTCTAGGACATTAGCTTATAATTGAAATGAGTTTTACTAATTAGTATATTTTCTAATTCAGTCCTCTAGTTCATTGTGGGGTATTTGTACTCAGCGCGGATCTTCCTGCTATTTGTATCCGATGCTGTTTAACTGTAAATGAATCCAGATAATTTCAGTTCAAAGTAAGGAGTAGAATGAAAAAGGAAGCAACATTCGACGAATGCAAGGTCAGGAGTTCGGTTACAACTTACAAAGTCCCATTTCTTAAGTTGTAACCCAGACGCACAAGGACCAACGAAACCGCCTCATCGACTTTAAGAGTGTTTTTAATGTAGAGTCCTGCAACTCCTGTAAAATCTCCTTTATAAGTTTATGACAGGACAGATTAATCAACATCTCATATTTGTATTGAATAAAAAACTCGCTCAACATGGAATTGACTATGCTTTGAATGAGAAATGTTGTTCAGCTTTAATTTAAAAAACTATATTTTGTTTCGTAACTCGACTTAAAGAATTAAAAAAGTGTGAATATTTACTTAAATTCAAAGCATAAGTTATAACCTTCCCAACAACAAATATCACCTCCCCACCAGAATCTATTAATTTCAGTAAAATAAAACGAAGCATTAGGTATTAACTTCTGGTCGAATGTAGCATTAACGGAATCTTAAAGTGTAGAGTGGATCCCCTAAGCACAGGTTCTATAACTCATCAACTTTAAACCCGGTATTAATCATTAAAACCCCATTATGTATCAGATTTCTGAACAACCCCAAATATCATAATCCCTAACTTACCAACATAGCTGAACCCCCTACTGCCATGGGAACATCTTTGAGAGCAGGATTGTCTCTCATCTCCACGGCAGCGTAGAACGCGTCCATGTCCACGTGCACAATGTCACGTGTTAAGTCACGAGCGCTCTCGAGCCGCGCAAGAACTCCGTCTAACTCAAGCTCACTCTGCTTTATCATCTGAAAAGTTAGATGCTAAAAGGTTCTCTCTAAAATATGATAGAAAGCAATTCCATCAGTTCGTAAAATAAACATCCAGGTTTATTTATAAGTGAGGGCACCTATATATCAAGCCAGAAACCCAAACTATATATCTTGTTGAGAAACGTGGGATTAAAGGGTAATACGTTATTTGGGATGTTGGGGGGGGGGGGGGGGGGGGGTTGTCGTGGGGGGGGGGGGGGGGGGTAGTATCTTATTTGTTGTAATCTCATTTTAGGGCAGTGTGGCAATGGCATCATTTCCTCTGCTAACCTGATCTAGTGTTTTATAATCGAAAGCCGTGATGTTCTCAGCTAAATGCGACCTACCTATGTGACCTATGTTGAGTTTCGTCAAGACTTGAAGGGGCCATCACATCGTCCGACGACTCCATAGCGAAGTAAAGTCTCGCTTGTTGCGCCAGCACAGCAGAGAGTTCGTATTTGGAGGAGTATATCCCCTGATCGGCGGCTTATCAGGGAGAGACAACATGAACTTTGTGAGCTTATCTTTGAAGTGCTCCAGATCTTGAACGACATTCAGATGGTAGGGGATTGCATTCCACAATTTAGGTTTCTGAACTGCAAATGAGTTGTCAAACAAGGTGAGGTTTGCTGTTGAACTACGTTTTGATGGAATTACTGCAAGGTTTCCTAACCTTGGTCGTGAAACAAATAGAACGTTCAGATCATTGCTGGTCTTTCCGTGGAGAATTTTCCACATGTGGAGAATGAGGATTGAGGAATCGCTCCCGCCTCTGTTGAAGAGACATCAGAGATAGATAGACCAGGCGATCCCAGTAGTGGATATCGCGCATTCCTGATATTCTGGCGGTGAATGCTTTCTGCACTGTACACTCTCCAGTTCTTGAATATCGCTGATTTTTGAGTGATGCCATAATGGAACCCATGATGCTTTTTGGCGAGCTTTATCTGCAATGACTCGTTTGTGAGGGGACCAAGAGAGATCACAAAAAATATCATAATATATAATGTCATTATCGAAATTTCTCGAAATTTTATTTTATTTGAGTGGGTTTGTGTTCATCGATACCGGAAAGAAATATCTCTCACAAAAGTTTGTTCTTTTGGCAGATTCCAGTCGCAAAATCATCCCGTGGTTTGCGATAAGGATAATTTAGGTATGATGCTTCGGTATTTTTACTTAAACAATGGGTTTAAAGCAGTGGGCACTGCTCCAAAGATCCTGCCAATTGAGTGATTTAATATAACCGTGAGAATCGTATTATTGGACCCATTCCAGTCATTGAATCAGACTTGTTAAAGAAATTAAACGACGTCACTTTTAACATTTTTATATAAACGAGGTCAATCCCGACTGAGCATTATTTTCAACATGAAGCTACTTTTTGTCGTACTAGTAAAGTTAGTCCTGGAAGCTGCTTCGTCATATTCCTCGGGTAAAGATGAGCAGTACATATGCCAGGGTAAGTGTTGAAACTAGAAGAGTTTGTTTTAGTGATGTCAGATTTTTATTTGCAAGTGAATATTTGAACTTTTTGCAAACGTAGATCGCAGCAGCTGAAATACAAAATAAATCTTATATTTCAGGATATGAAGAGTATTTGACAGCGATATTCGCGAAGAATGACTGCCCTGAAGATGAACGGTTACCAAGAACAAAAATACTTGGAGTGATCATGGAACTGCTGGAGATAGAGAAGCAAGAGGAACAAAGCTTACATATACAAGTACCAATCACTAGAGAAGAAGACGGAGAAGAACAGTACATCTGCTCTGGTAAGTAAAACATATTTGTTTAGATAGGGATCTCACGCTAATCTGGATAAATTGATTTACAATTTGAAAGTTTAGCTCCTGAAAACTAGCTAATTGTTATCAAGCCACAACAATTGTATTTTACAGGATTCGAAGAAGATTTGAAGGGACATCTCACTAAAGACTGCCCTGAAATGTACCGCACCTCGCTCAGCTACTTTCACAAAGCAGTGAAAGATCTGATAGAAACAAAGGGTGAAGTAAGGGGGTTACACCGAGTTCGCAGAGCAAGCTGGTGCACGCACTGTCCTTATTACTGTAACTGCTGTAGAAGCTACTGGTGGGGGCGGTGCTCGTGTCCTTCTAGGTGCCGGTGCTGTAATTAGTAAATTAATTAGGACTCAGGCCAGAGTTTAGACAAAAACTTCAGGTGAGAATTGCAGAGAGTATTTTAGACAAGGCTTTACTCAGGAGGGGTCTAAGCTCTAGCGACCTAAAACTTTATGCCCGGCCCCTCAGAAGGCGAGATTTTAGACGAGATTTGAGAAAGAACTCTGGGCAGGACTTAAGAGGACGCTTTACATAAGCAATCTAATTTTGAAAAATTAGATTATGGACTTAACAAATAAATGAAACATTTTTTAATTAAGCTTCGAATTTATCTGTGTTTTTTTAGGACATTGTGATGTTGAATTTTTTCTTTTAAGCAGTTTTTGTATGATTATTTGTGAATATTTCGGAGCACGAAAATACGAATAAATATAATAAAGATACAAATTAATGCGAAGACAACAAACTTGAAGTTTTACGAAATAACAAAGAAATCGATCATTAGCGGTTTAATTTATACATCGCTCAGCTCTTATTCGTATCTCAGTATTTTGAAATGTATAGTTCTGTAACGGAATAATTTAGAATTATAATCAAAATCAGTTTTGTTTTTTAATTGTATTGAATGTGCGTTGTAGCTTATCGTCAAATAAATCCAGGCAAATATCTTAAACAATAGTCTCAGAAAGTGTGTCTGTGTGTCTGTCTGTGCGCGTGTAATTTCCGAGCGGCTTAATCAAGAAAACGGTAAGAGTTACGGGACTTGTTTTTTCGGTAAAGTACCGAGAAAACTCTGACGAAGCCAAATGATAAAGGTTTTTTAAATCGGTCGGTGGTAAGTGGTTTAATTGATAGTTTTGTACCACAAATGTGACATAAAATGGATCACTTTTTCTCCCTCCTCGCGCTCTCTCCCATTACTGCATAGGCAGCGTTGGTACATAAATCATAATTAGGTTAGCCTCGATATTCACTGTCATTTAATACTATAAGCTTATTAGGGGAGGGGGATTGTACTGGGGGCACTCATTGAATTGCGGTAAGTCCAAAATATTGCAAGTGAAAATTTTCAAAAGTTTTATAAAAATTAGTTCAGTATACGTGTAATGTAATTGTGAACATTTTTTATCAAAATATATTTTTGAAATATTCCAAAATGTATTAATTATTTAATTAATTAATTAAATAATTTATGTTTGAAAAAGTTGTTTAAGAAAAAGTTGTTTAAGAAAAAGTTGTTCTTCTTTGTTTTCTAAACACACTGCTTTAAACTAGAATCTTTTAGGATATTTAGAACGTGACTTATTTGCAGAAAACCAAAGTGGTAAAAAGGTGGTAAAAAAGTGATAATTGTGGATTTTGCTCCAGTCAGAAATTTTGGGAATTCTCTGGAATGACTCCTGGGACCTGTCCCGACCATTTCCCGTAATAATCGCTTTGTTGCGAATTTTGTCCGACAAAGGCTTAAATTAGGACGTATTTGACTGTACTACTGGGGGCACTCATTGAATTGCGGTCTGTTTGGACTGTAGAGAGAGTTCATACTTGCATACGACAGTGTTATGCGTGTTTTCAAATATAATAGGCGGGTTTATACTTTTGCATTTCAACTGCGATAGTGAAGTCCCGGCCGTTGGCATGGATTACACTAGTTCACTAATATTGTGCTAACTGGGGTTAACCTGGCAAATTCATTTAAAGTACAAAGTAGACTAGCATTATGCAGTGATGGTGGGATGCACGGCCACGAGTCCAATGTATGAAATCTGAATACAAGATCAAAACAAAGTTTTAATTATGAATTAATATTTTGAAAAATCGCAAAACCTGCTCAGTGAGTTCACCCCTTTCTTTCAACATTTTATCAACCTTGTTCTTCAATTCCTTTTCTTTCTTTTCGGCGTGTTGGAAGAACTTGGACCCTTTGCTTGTCTCGCGAATTATTCTGTTTATACGCTCCTTGTCCAATCCTGGATTTGAGTGATGCTTAATTTTAATCAGGATGTACTTAGTGAGGCCGGGTTTTGATTTGCCTTGCAAATTTATATATTTTCTCTTAGTCTTTATATATGATATAGGTCGGACGGTATCACTTCTTATGAATCCCCATAGATTCCTAAATTTCAAACAGCTTTAAGTAACGGTATCCCCTTGAATCTTAGTCCGTATTCTTACACTTGCAGAAGCTCCCCCCTCGAATCAGTATCTTTACACTAGCACTGCAGCTACCGTTAAAAAGCATGAAAGTAGAGATAAAATGGTCACGACAAATTTTAAAATTTAAATATAATCAGTTACGTTATCAGTGGGTTTTAAAAACAAATGTTGATTTACAAACCTTGCATTCCAGCCTTGCCATCGTTAAGGGTGAGGCTATTTGGTCCGGTCATTGTTGCATTTATATTGTCATTATAAAAGAACAAATGTGGGGAGGCTAATGAACATCACTCATCTAATTAGGAAACCATACCTAGAGCCAAGATTTGATAAGAAAGTGTTATGATCTCGTAATTCAATGATCAAAGAAATTCCAAACCAAATATTTTCGAAGAAAAGAAATCCTAACGCCCAACTTTTGTAATTTACAATTAATCTGAATTTGCTCTTAATAATAATATAAACAATAAGAGCCAAAATTTACGGAGGATATAATTTCATAGTCAACAAATTATAAAAATCATTTATCATAAACTTCACATCAAATAAAAATATTTTTTTCGATTTAACAACATATTTTAAAAGCTCACCACCTTTGATAAACTAATTAAAAAAGAAAACTCCAAACAAGAAGCACATGGCAAATATCATGGATGATGATTGAACGTTTAATAGAATGTCGAAATATTATTCTTAAAAAAAAACATTCAACGTTTGAAATTGGTCACAGTCCAACCTTATAATATCTTCTGAAAAACGCTATCACCCAACGCAACAAATTTAATAACTAAGTTTTCGAAACTCTCAAATCTCAATCGCTGTTGTCCTGATAACTGGTACTGGCCAGAGTCCCACAGTCAGTGGTCAGTTCATCAGGTAGAGGGTAAACAGAGTCAGCATAGCCCTGTTTCACCAACTCCTTGTTGATACTGATGTAGTTATCAGTGCTGCAGTCCCACAAGTGGACACAGAGAGGGCCTCCCGGTCTCCGCTCTATAACTTTAGCTATCATCCACTTACCTGACACTTTATCGAGGAAGAAATCACGAGCAGCTGCACTCTCGTTCTCACGATTTATCTCCTCGGTTCCTACAAATACTGGTTCTGTGTCGATAGGGTAGGTAGGCTTCACATCCGCAAGGAACATCTCTTGCGCTTGAAATGGAAGTTCTTTGATAAACGCTGAATCCATTACACGCAAAGATTTCTCGTGGACGATCTCGAATGTTCCAAAGTCCAGGTGGAAAACTTTGCACATGCCCTCACCAACCTCGTCAGTCTCGGTTACACGTGACCGCCGGTAATTATCGTTACCATCAATACTCTTCACCGCCACAATCTCCCCTATAGCTGCGTAGTACTTTGTCTCCCGGTACCCCTTATACCGGTACATACTATTCATCTTCTTAGTCAGCTCTGCCAGAGGATCACCTACACTATTCTCCTGTTCTATAGCACCTGGGTTGATATCGTGAGGTAGAATCTGAGCCCAGAAGTGGAAGGGAGTCAGAACTGAAGTGACTTGGACTATGACCGGCATGTCGTTGGTTGGGGTTGGGGGCTTGTTCTCTTGGATCACCATAGCTTGTTCGCTCTGGAGGGAATTAAATTCGGACTTCCTCTGATGCAGAAACCGACACTGACTGCCCTTATAACACTGCCTCCCCCGGCTGAAGAACCTACATAATGCCCGTCTCTCAAGTTTCTGACCGTACACGGCTTGTCCCACATCATCCTTATCATGGTCTGCCAGATTAGTTTCGCTGTGGAAATCTTCAGACATAGGATCGAATGAGGACATAGGATCGAATGAGGACATTGTTTCTGAGTCCACTTCACTGGACAGCTCACTATTCGGAGCGGCCAGAGTGATAGGACTACTCCGACCCATCTTCATAGCTGCTAACTTCGCTTCCACGTTCTTCATCCGGTCCTCGATAGCAGCACTTAATGTAGGATCAAGATCAGCATGGTCCACACCAAAGTCCAGATTCAATATCCGCTCTGCGTGACCTTCTCGCACAAACTCATCGGCTATATTCACTAGCAAATTTGTATCCACCCTGTCAACTATAGAAACTGGGAGTGAACTATTAAGGAACTGAAATAATGCTTCGTCGTCAGCAACTTGAACATCTTTTCTGTAACCGTAGTAAAGAGGGACCACGTCACCTCGAACGTTAAGGTAAACACGCTCATTTAAAATAAGGTCTGAGAAGGCAGTCCGGGCTGATCTAGAATACTGACACCGTGTTATCGGGGAATTGTCATCTTCATCATCACTATCAGTCTCAAACTCCTCCTCCTCCTCATCACCGACTGTTGTCTTATCGTCCGGTGGCATAGCCTGTATCTCTGGTAAATAGCACGGGATGGACTGAGCCGGGAGTCTAGAGAACTTGGCGGGAAGCGGTCTGACATTTAGCACAACGACTTCCTCTACGTTGCCGTAATCAACAAACAATACCATGTATTTGTAGACCCTACGAGTGGAGCTCTTCTTGAAAACCTCTAACACAAGTGCCCGATACCAGCTGATACTTCCCTCTGGACAACTGTATTTAGCCACACAGAAGTCTCCTACATCAAATTCAACTTTACAGGAGGAGACAGCGAGCTTGCTGGATATCATCTCGGAGAGTCCTGACACTTCCTTCTCTACCAGGTCATCTTGTACCCAGTTCTTGGTAACTGAATCCTCCCACTGGACGTGCAGTAAGTTCACGTTCACTTCCACGACAGTTCCTTTCCATATGTTGCCTCCTACGTTGCGGGTGATCTTGTCCCCGGACTGGTATGTGGGTTTGTTGGAGTAGAGTAGGTTCAGACTCGATGTCATTGCCTGGAGAGATAAGAGAGTTTCAAATATAGAGACTAACTATTCTGAAGTAGATGGTAGATAAATGCGAAATGCTCTATACTGATTACTGAGGTGTTCGTTCAGGGAAAAACGTAACTTCGTTTAAAACCAGACGAGGGAATTAAACACACAGATTTACAAAACTCACATTGAGGACGGCAATGTGTCTCATATCTAGAAAAGAGACACAGAATAGCTCCGGAGACTTCACGTGGGTAACCATGACTGGCAAGAGTGTGGTGTTCTCTGAAAGTGTCTCAGTTTGCAGTCTCGTAACCTCCCTTTCTAGGGGCGAGAAGAGGGTCTCATGGTTATGTTTTTATTAGTTGTGAACAATTTAAGGAGGGAAGAGTCGTGCTTGATACAGACAAAGTGGTAAAATTAATATTTATCATAACTAGTGCCTCATTAATACCGAGGAAACAGGTTTCATACTGCATTTAAGACAATAAGAAAATCACCTTGTAATTATTATAGACGCTTTCCTCAGTTAAATCGCCTAACAGGTAGCTTTTAGGATCGTATATGATCTCTTGCAATTTAGCAGTCAGGGACTCGGACTGGGGAGGCTGCTCATCGTTAGGTTCAGGAATGTTACTATCATCTCCCTCTTCTCCCTCTTCTCCCTCGTCTCCCTCCAATCGGTCCATATCTTCATACTTGGGAGAGTTAGCACCTGAGATGGAGACAGTCTGAAGAGTTGCAGAAAGAAGACAGTTTACCCATATAAGGTCATGTAACATGTTACATACTTACTTAATACTTCTACTCTAGATAAACATTGTTCATGTGAATAACTATCTATCAGATTTATGGAGAACTTTGACAATAAAATTAAGACACCTCCGAAACACATATTTCCTTAATGGTACAGATAAGGGATATTTTTAGTTGCTTTTATCATTACATCCACCACTCACGATGTGAACTCACCAGGATCTACAGTGTGATCTCTATTCTCCGCATCATCACTGAGAACCTCTATTCCTGAGGAGGGAGTTTTGGCATCACTCGGAGACAGACCATCGGACGGATCTGTGTTATCTGGCTTGCTTCCTAAAATTATAAGTCTGAGAATCTTATTGCGGACAGTTAGTAATGAAAATGTGGGCGGGATTGAATTATATTTACTGTGCTTCTATTTGAGAAATGCGTTATCTATTTATAGTTATTATCTTACAGTGCCAATTCAATTTAAAATGAATACCTCGAATAAGTTCCGAGCTGTTTCGTTTAACAGCAGATTTAGCTTTTAGGACCTTCCTTTGTTCAGAGCCGAACGTGGATGGGCTTATACTGGAGGCACGGTCACTTAGAGACCTGAAATATAACTTGCATTCACAATTTCTTAGGAAGATATTCAATTACACATCATCAACAAATATTTGCACACTAAAATCAAAACGGTTTCAAAATCTCGTAAAAAAACCATAACTCACATCCCATCAGCGGTATTCTCCAAGTCTCTGTAGGATATTTCGAAGTTTGGAGGGGGTAGATTCCGGTCCAAATCTTCAAACCCGTCCCGCTTCCATTTGTTAGGATCAGATGACTCTCCTTGATCCAGTGGTATCTCGTATCCAGTGTCCGGTGCGCTGTAGACATAGCTAATGTTGGTAATGTATATCAACTAATCGTTCAGGATTATTGCTTAAAACTTAAAATTGATGTGTGGAGGGTTATCATAACGTGTTTGAAGGACAGATTTATCGCGCAATAATTATTTATTTTCCATTTATAATAACTCTAGAAATGATAACTTTTAAACGATAATAAAATGTTGATACAAATTATTAGAAATCAGCAAAATATAAGTATTTGATAGAATTTCAAATGAAAAAATGTATTGATTGAAATAATATAGGTAATCAATTTACTTACATAGCGTAAGCAATTCTTAATTTGCATCTTTGAATGCGGTTCAAAACCTTAGAAGCATACGCAATAAAAACTTAGGTAAATAACTAACCCCTCGCAAACTGTTTTCAACGCACTTTAAAATTGAAAGTTTAGCAGAACAAACCTCAAGCAGAGGAGATAAAATTCCGAACAACAACAAAACAATGAACATGATCATAATATTGTAATAGATCTACCCGAACCTGAAGTTGTCTCCACCCAGAGGAGCGTTCCCAAACACATTGCCTCTTCCCTTAGCACTAGTGTCCCCGAATGAGAAGGGAGGTGCAGGAGAGTTGATGGTTCTAGAGACTGGTTGAGGACCACTCCCGATAGAAGGAGGTCGTCCTACTGAGGGTGGTGAAAAGGAATCGTCCTCAGAATCATCTGAGGGTACAGGATGTCGGTTATTTGGTGTGCGTGCAACATGACTTGTACTGGCTGGAATGTGCGTTGGATGGAGTGGTTGAGCTGGATAGAGTGGGGTTCGGGTTAAACCCTGGTGGGGACGCTGAGTAGAGGGAGGTGGTGAACGGTTCCGACCTCTGCGTGGTGGTGGATTGGTGGATGGAGAGGCTGATCTGGTACTCTGGAAAGCTGTTGAAGTTGGATTGGTGTCCGGAAAGGAGCGAGGAGCGAAACGTGTTGGCGAGGTGCACAACTCCTTCATTGGCTCTGTTGACTCAACTGAAATTAGATGGTTAGATGGTTACTGTGTCCTATCATTTTAACACGATTTTTGAAACAACCAAGTTAGTACCAAAAGTTATTCTTCTAGAGCAAAGTAAAGAAGATGAATTCAAACAGTATTCAAGAAATATTGCACAGCAATTGTCATTACCTTGATACTTTATGGCTAGTTGCATCTCAACAAGCTTATTGTTGATATTAATTAGGAGATTCCCTTCCTGCAACTCTAGAACAACTCCATAAACTTGGTTGGTTGTTTCCAGCACTCTTATTATAAGCATCTTATTCGATACCAGGTCCCACAGAGCTTCTACAGTCGATGATTCCCATTCTTCTGAAAATTAACAAGTCGTCATAATTAAAACTAATATTAAAGTCAAATCAAAAACCATGACATTGAGTAACAATCTACTTTTGGATAATTTAGTCGTTGTTCACCAGTGAAGCTTGTTTCATGGGCAAAACTGTTTTTAATGTAAAACTAACTAACGTCCTCGATCGGGCGGCATAATCCCCGACAAGTAGCATTGTTGTACACACATGGGCTCCATTAATAGGATCTCGTCGGGCATATCTCGCAGCTTATCGTAGTTTACATCTTCGCAGCGGTTTCCGTAATCAACGAACAGGACCGTATACTTGTGCTCTGGGATGTTGAGACATATTGTTTATCTGTTAATAAAATAATTGTATAATTATATGCGGTCTTGGTGACCAAGTCAGATAATCACAGATAACCATTATTTCGTTTTCTGCATCGGTCATCTTCTGATGTTTCAAATTATACAAAGTTTCTGACTACCTATATATAAACTTTCAATATGAAATAACTTATTTATGATTTTTGATAGTTATTCTTCATCCGTCGAAACCCACTTCAGGGTTTCAGACAGTAAAAGTAAAACCTATTAAGTTGGTATCTACTACATACCTGCAAGAGTCCTCTCCACACATGCTCTGTACCACAAGCCATCTACAAACTGACAAAGTACCATCTTCCCAATAGAATGTGACTTGTTAATCCGCAGATTACTCGAATGAATATAGTTAGCTACAGCGATCTGAAGGCAAAAGATGTGTAACATAACGATCTTCCTTTTCAGATATTGACAAACATTTATTGTGTTAATGTAGTAAAAATTGGAACGGTTGACATCATAAAATGTCATTTAACAATAATCGATATAAATGCGACAGTATCTGCCGTCTACCGTCCGTAATAGGTTATTTTCTAGAATCTTCTAACCTGAACATTGTCTCGCTTTCCATCCGCTTGCTTCGGCTTTACGAAAAACTGGCTCGGGCTGTAGAGCTCTGAAAAGCAAAATGAATTGAATATGAAGCAGAATACGCAGATATTGGCAAAAATCGTTACATTTCCGGTATTTCCTATTCCCAAACTTCTCTCCTCATTTATAGAAAGTAAGTTTCCCCTGACCCCTCCTCTGTTACTCAGCAAACCTTCAACAGATCCCCAGCTTTCTTTAGCAGGATTCGAATATTCACTGCTTTCAGTAAAATATCTCTGTATTTTCTTGTTCCAACATAAGTCCTGAATGACAGGACCTTTGCCAGGGGGTGGAACAGCTGCTACTCTTTCTGGAGGTTGGTATTCAGGTACTAGGGGCTCCCTTACTGGCGTTCTAGATACCTCCATTGATATTCTTGATTGGGACTAAGAATAAAGAGCATATTATACAATAATAAATGTTTGGTTTCGAAAAATCAACATTTAACTTTTGATAATAATGACAATTGCATAATTATGAAAATTGATGGTAAAATTTCATAATCTTGATGTAACGATAAACTGACCTGAGGCTTTCTGTCGGGAGTCAGACTGGTATCAGTAAGTTCAATGGTCTGAAATCAAAGAAAATAAACAAATTGAAAGATTAATCCAGCAATATTTTACTCTAAGAATGGTTAAAAGTGAAATATTTGAACGAAATTATGGTTCATACCTAAATCAAATTATACTTAACAGTTGCATGATTTTTTAAAAAGAACGCAAGCTGAAGGTAGAAAGCAGCAAACTTATCCTCACATTAGTATCTGGATTGAAATAGTGGTATTGCTGTTTAGCAGCGGAAAGCTCAGCAGCTATTTGGGTAGGTGTGAGTGGCGTGCTAGAGCGATGTAATCTAGGGGACGGGCTCCTAGGAGGTATTGGGCTTGGTTGCTGCCGAACTGGGCCGGGCAGGATTGGTGGATTACCATAGGCAGACAGATGGCGGGAAATGGAGGCATGCCCAGGATGGGATTCGAACGCTTGGGTTTTTAACGTTGCTGAGGGCTATTGATAATTTTGAGCGAATTTATATCCAATAAGGAAAAAAAAAGGTTAAAAGTCATTACAGTCAGCCAGCGTAACAGTTTCGGTGCTGTGGCAAAATTTATCAATAGTACAGCAATCTCACAGCAAATCAAGATTGTAGTCGATAATTAGAGATAATCAGAGAATCAACTTAAATCACCAAACTAAGATTATCTCCAGTCTCCGTTACTCACCTTCGGCTGAATGAATGCACCCGGGCCGAGAAGATCTTTAGGAGATATCAAGTCTACCTATGGGAGTTAGGCAACAGTTACACTTTCAGGGGTTCATTCATTATCTATCGGAATATCATGGTTTGAACTTTGACAGTTTACCATACAAATAAGATGTTAACGGGCACTGAATTAAATTATATCAATTAATTAATTGATATGTGTGCAGAACTACCCCAGGAGTTGCAGATAGGCTCACTCCTCTAGAACAAGTAACACGTGATGAGTTTATCCCAGCTATCATTAACAGGCTGTTTAGCTGCACTGATGAACTTAGGAACATAATGGCTCTACCACCAAGATATGGAGGATTGGGTATACCAGTTATGATGGAAATGGCAGACCGAGAGTACAATTTCTCATGTAAAGCCACAAAACCCCTTAAAGAAGCTATTCTCAAGCAGATAGACAACTACACAGAGGACTGGAGACACAGTAAAGAAGTGAAAACTGAGATAACGACTGAACGAAATCTCTTCTATCGACAAAAACAAGCAGAAATATGCCAGGAGCTTGAGTCAACACCACTGGCAAAGTTGATGTTCCAACTAGCGGCTGAGAAAGGGGCAAGTGCTTGGTTAACAGCACTACCTTTAAAAGAGTATGGATATCTGATGAATAAACAACAGTTCTCAGATGCAATAGCTCTCAGATACAACCTGAACTTAAAGGACTGCCCTAAGACATGTACGTGTGGCCAGAAATACTCAGCAAACCATGCGCTCATCTGCAAGCTTTGTGGATATGTGTCACTGCGGCACAACTCGCTGAGAGACACCTTTGCAGAACTAATGAGAACTGTGAAATGCAAGGATGTGCAGACTGAGCCAGTTCTTCTACCAGTTGATGGTCTAGAATTACCAAAGGGAACAGTCCTAGGAGACCAAGCCAGGCTGGACATTTCTGCAAGATCGATTTGGAATGCTTCAGAGAGGGCATTTTTTGATGTAAGGGTATTTCATGCCCCAGCCCCCTCCAATGCAAGCAAATCGATACCAGCAATGTACCTGTCCCATGAAAATGAGAAAAAGCGATGTTACAATGCAAGGGTTCTTGAAGTGGAGAAAGGAAGCTTCACACCTTTAGTGTTCTCGACTTCTGGTGGAATGGGTGGTGAAGCTGAGAGACTGGTCAAGAAACTGGCCAGTAAGATGGAGTACCACACTGGCCAGAGGTACTCAGACGCTGTAGGATACATCAGAAAGCGCCTTCGCTTTGAAATCCTTAGAACAACAGTGATATCTCTCCGTGGAGACAGAGGTGCGAGAAAAAACATTGTTGATATAAACAGTCTAGATCTTAACTTGGAGCCACAAGGCCAAGGGTAATTTTTGATTGTTAAGGGAATTTTTTGAATTCTTAAAGGGTTGATTTTATATAGGGTCATTGCTATATTATGTGTATATTGTTTGAATAATTTTATTAAAAAAAATAAATTAATTAATTGAATTTGCAAAACATTTGAGCGCGCGAAAACCACTTGGCTTTCATAGTTAGGATGTCACTTAATTTAGCGCCCTACGTTTAAGACTGACAGTCAAACTCTGAACATTTGTCGAACTTTACTGCTCAAACCTGTTTGTGAGTGGGATCGGGTCTTTTTGAACTTTGCAATGAGCTGTGATGTGAAGAGAAGGATCTGGTATCACACTCCTCTTGCCTTTCTTCGGATAAGTTCCGTGTAGGTGCTCTTCCATAGTCACCACTTCGCTGTACTGACCTCTCTGAGTCAGAGGTTTTCTTAGCAGAAGATTGTGAATTCTGTCTGTTGTTGGAGTATGATTTGAAAGGAACTACAGGTTCTACTGTATCCTCCGGAGATGAGCTATACAGGTCACCATCTTGGGGAGAGTCTGGGAGCTGGATATTTTCATCTGTATCCTCGGAATCACCTGTAGTTTTAAGACACTTAATTGTGAAAGTTGAAAAACTTGGTCAATTCTTGCGCTTAGTAAACAAAGATCCGCCACTGGGTAAAAACTCGCAAAACAATTGACTAATAAGAAGATTTGTTGAAGATAAAAACATGGGAGACTGAAGAAGACCTTACTTTCGACACCGATGTGGTCTATAGCACTGATTATGGAGTCTGTATTTATTTTAGGAGGTGGCGAGGCAAACAGTACTGTTGTCTTCAGTTCGTTCACTGCTTTGTGCACCTATTGTTGAGAAAATGGTAATTTATTCTAATTCAACTACTCAATCTAGAAATTAAGACATTTTGATAATAAAACATTAAGAAATAAGAGGGTAAGAAAATCAATAGACGGAATAAGGGTTTAAATAAATCTAACCCCTTTCAAGACCCCTTGAGATGCACTGCTTGACATTGCCTCCTTTTTTAATCTGTTGAGGTCATTTATAACTGAGGAGTGTGAAGCTCCATCAATCTGTTGCTCTTTCAGGGCCTTATACCTGAATTAATGTAAACATCAGTAGGCACCAACAATTTGGCTCGGAATTTGGGTCAGAAATAATATAAAATGTGTTATGATCCACCTCATCACTAAAAGCTAGGTTACATATTTTGTCGTCAATGAATGTGTAGATTCAAGACTAGAAGCTGGAAAAGTTGGGAGCTGCTTTTTTGAAATTTATAAACAAATCCTTTTCAGATCAATCAACATTTCTTAACATTTTCTTCATGTGAGAAGTAATTTCATTGTCGAAGAAATTTAGCAGGTTTAAGCAAAAAACAACAGACTACAAAGTAATAGTATGCACTTACCTTTCCTCCAATTTGAGTCTCAACATTTGGAAAACTCTGTCAATATCATCGCCCTCTGGATTCTTAAGTTTTTCAGCCTCATCTTCTAGTGATTCGAGGTCTTTTATAATGATTGACTGCAATTGTTTTAACTTCTTTTTATCCATAGCTATTGGAAGGTGTTACATTAACAATCAGTAATAATTATTTGAGACACGGCTATATGCTATAATTCACAAACATGTTTTATTCATGTTGAACCAGAAATGAACAGGTATGTATGCCGCGCCGTACGGGTACATTGTACATTGTACATCACATGATCAGGACTTTCTACAAAACTGTACCAAATAAAATGGTCGAAAATTGAGTGTTCTAAAAAATAACATAGAAATACAAATTTCATGCAACTTTTCAGGTAGTAAGATAATTATAATAGGAATAATCTGTGCGAGGTTGGGCGAATTTCTATGTGCCAAACTTGAGATATCACTTCAAACACAAGGAAATTTCCCCTATAAGGCCAGGTAGCGCAGTTGGTTAGCCAGCTTTGCAATCGTGAGGTTGCGGGTTCAAATCCCACTGCCTGCCTGGTCGTGGGGTGAGTGATGTTGACATTCAGCTAAGGATCGTGAGTGGTCTATGCAGCCCCCCGGTGTACTCAGCCGAATACTCGAGAAATCGGGTGTGAGGGTTAAATGAGGAGCTGCACATTGCAGCAAAGTCTCGGGCGAAGAAAGTATGGTACACACTACCTTAACCGTCACTGGCTAAAAACAAATCCTTCGGCTTCCTGTAATTGGCTGGTTGCACTTGTGTAACAATATGGCTGTTGGAATACTCCGAAGTAAAATAAGTGTCTAGATAAAAATAGGAACAATCAGTTTGGAGATATTTTCTTGTGTTTTAAGTGATATCTCAAGTTTGGCACATAGAAATTCGCCCAAAATCGCACAGATTGTTTCTATTATAGTTATTTTACTATCTAAAAAGTTTAAAGAAAATTGATCAACAAGATCTTAAGATAAATGCCTTGGTACCAAATATTGCACCTTGGTAAAGTTTGGTACAGAAAGTCCAACTCCACATGATTTCACCCGTATAACCATCATACCACGTACAGTGTACACCCAGAAATCATATTAACTAATGAAGCTGAATCGGACGCTGAGTAGAAACAGTCCTTCTTAATTATATTCTCATTGTATCAAATAACAATGATTTAGACGATGTTTATTTAAAAGCTGAATGCTATTTTAATGTTATTCGGTCATATTCTTGTGATTAGATTTTTCTGATCATCACAAAGAAAAGTTATAGCCACTGGGCGTTAAAGTGACACAATGTTACAGTCAATAAGTGTAAGTGTAACAGTGACAGTCTATTCTGGACTTATTACGTATTATAATTATGCTCTATCTTTTAATTTAACTTGAAGAAAAGTAATTTCTGTTCTGTTATCGACATGGAAGCAGTGAATAACACAGTTTTTCAATAATTAGTCAAGTACTACCAATAAAAACAATTAAGCAAACATAAAAATATAGCAAGACCGAGCAAGATAAAAACACAGAGCGATACAAAGAACAAACACTGAGAAATTTTCTGTAAAAACACGATTATCATTACAAAAATAAACATAAAATCAATTAAATAAATTATCTTCTGGTATGGGAATCAAAGTAAAATCAAACATTCAAACAATGTAAAAATGATTTTCAATAGAATCATGTAGATTCCAACAGAATCTCTTAACTGCAGGGACACGTTATTACAATAAAGATTCTGGTCTGTTTTTGGTTTTCATTTGACTGACTCCAGATTACAGAGGCAGGTCACTCACATTCCATTCCATTTTGTTGTTAACATGTTATGAGTTTCAGCAGTAAAACCAACTTTAACCCCTTATTCCAACTGTGAGCATTGTTTCAGCACATGTTATGTCGCAGGAAGAATTCCTCTTGTTTATCGAGAGAAATATCTTTGCAAATATTTGGATCGCGTGATCTACCAGTTATCATCTCACAGAGATTGTTTCTGTAGCAATTATCATCACAAGGCATGTTGGGCTGGTCGTGGAATTTAAACCTGCCGAACAATTTGAAAATAAACTGTCATTTAATGCAAATTATCGACATCGAAGAAGAAATATTAACTAGTTTTTACGGCTATAGGTTTTTAGAATAGTGCAAGCTTGACTGCCAGAGATACATTTAAAAGTACAACACCTGTGTTATCAGGGATATCTAAAAGGAAACTAACTTCCAGAAGGTCTTCTCGAAGAATCCTCGGTCTTGTTGGAATGTTTTGTACAACTGGTGCATCGTGTCGGGCACCAACCACGTCATATTATACGCACTCTGCAGGGGTTACTGGGTATTGCTTAATTTTATAATCAACTGGACATAAGTTAATATAATATAATATAATAATTTTGAATACTACCACACTCCACAGTAACACTGAGAGACATTTATACCAAAGGATAGGAAACAAAACAGGGATAAGATGGAAATTAAAATTTTACTGTTATATATGGACACGTTCATTTGAGTTTGAGGATATTGGTAAACAAAAATAATAGCGTTTTTGACGATAGTGGCTTAATTTTGACATCTATTAACCTAGCACGTTCAGAAGTTCTGAACATTAGCCGCGTAACCCATACTCCCATATGCACTGCTCAGAAAGAAAATCTATTGTTGTTAGGCACTATAATGGTTCAAATGTCACATTTTGTGTGACTTATTTAACTGCAGTTGTCTAATTATCATTCCTTGGTCTGAAACATAGTAGATTAGGTCAATCTAACAATTATGATACAACATTGGTTAAAGGGCACGGATCGAACGGTTACAAGGCAATATTTAGGTAACTTTGTCACACTCAGAATACCATACCTCTATTCTACTGTGAGGTGTCCTCAAAACCCTTTTTACTCATTATTTGATGGTTGATCTACCAAGTACGGAGTACCAATCATAGCCCTAAAATATGTTGCTTTGAATAGTAAGCTAATACAGGCACAATGAGGTTAATTTTGTCACAATATATGGAATTTAAAATTTTGGGCGAATTATTTATATCTGATTTTGGTTTGAAAGGCGGGAAAACTTTACATGATGACAATGTAGTTGATGCAAGTTAAGATCAGTTGATGTTTACATTGTCACAAAAAATTATACGAAATCGTAACAATGATTATATAATGAAATAGTCTCTTATAATAAGTAATAACTCTTATAATAACTGATGTGACAAAGTAAACATGTCTTGCCCCTATTTTGAAGATCTATATATTCTATAACTCTATTAGAATTTAACATTCTTTCAGAAAAAATTGGTAGAATATTGTCCAGAACATCAGAGCTCAAGTTTAACAATTTTAGGTTAAATTTGTCAAAGTCACTAAAAATGTGACAAAATTAACTTTTCCTGCCCCAACAATTTCAAGATAGTGTGTAAAAATTAGCATAGGCTGCCTTATCACCTGCTTATTACCTAAATAAATCAATCCAAACTACAAAAAAATATACGTTAATGTGATGACGATTACCTAACTGTAATAATAACTGATGTGACAAAGTAAACATGTCTTGCCCCTATTTTGAAGATCTATACCTCTATTAGAATACTATGTAATTTTATCATCAAAAAAATGTCGATAAACTAACTAGTTATTTTGCCAGCAAGGAGCTGACAGAGTTATAATAATTTTTTTGTGACGAAATTACCCTATTTTTGACCATGTTGTGGTAGTTTAATTGTGACACTGTTAACATATTACCACACGTTAATGATTTATGTGACTGGTGCATGGTACTAGCAGTGTTGTTTGATCCATAGTACGTAATACAAATGGTTTAAGCTGGTATATCATTATTTGTTCAATTTCACACATGTTCAGATATCATCAAGATTATGTGACAAAGTAAACTTGTCTGTGCCTTCTGTGTTTTAATTCCTTGCGACTATATGATATAATAACAATTCCTAGCACTTCCAGGCCATTAACTAAACCTACACTACTCAGCATTGCTTATCAGGGTTCCCTAAACATTGTTCACATATTTTCTTAAATGTGTGACAGAGTAAACCTGAGTGCACCATCTAACGAAAAAAGTCGTCAAATATGTAGGTAATGGTCATATGTACACATCCAATCAACTGGACACTCAAAATTTTGGTCGAAAACGGCAGCAAGGGGTCCATATTTACTCTGTCACATGTTTATAGTGTGACAATGTAACCATTTCCGTGCCGGCCGTATTTAAGCGATATCTTATCTTTAAGCGATATCTTATCACCTGATTAAGATATCGTTATGTGACAAAGTTAGCCTAGAGGATGAGACGATTATCCTAACCATCAAGGGTTTGTGTAATTTCATAGTGTGACAAAGTCAACTACACTGTGCCTTTTAATAGGGTCACTTATATTTACCAATATCCTCAAACTCAAATGAACGTGTCCATATAACAGTAAAATTTTAATTTTATATATACTAATATTATTGTAACCTGTGAATCGTATTCCAGTTCCCAAACAGTCTCATTCTTCTCATTAGCTCTGTCCAAGTCAAGGAGCCAAGTTTCTGATTTGAGAGGTCTGAATGTTGACTTCCGATGAATACCTGAACGAGTTACCGCAAGTTACCACAAGTTACCACAAGTTACCACAAGTTACCACACCTGTCATTCCAGGTCTCCTGGTATTTAGATTTTATATTAAAAGCCATAACAAATATTGGCTGATTGTGGGATGTGCATTCTTTTGTTCAATAATTCTTTCGCTAATTATTTGGTAATTTCCTGGGCTTCCATGTTTAGCCAAAAGAAGTGTTAGATACGTCATTATTAAATTAGCCGGCCACTTTGGAAAGATACGGCTATTTTCCTGATACAAATTAAACAAGCTTGCACATGATTTCATAGCCTAAAATTAACAAAGCCTATCAAAATGAGGCACGTACACGGTAGTTCCGCTAAACTATGCCCAGTTATGGGAGTTATTGTGTAGTTCTTTACTTCTAACTTTTGTTCAAGCCGAGAAGTTCTCCTTGATTGCACAGTTTCAATATAAATAGTCAATACTGTATTACATAGGCCAGATTAGCTTGGAAAAAGGTACCAACCTAAAACAATTTCCTCTTTTTTAAAGATGGTGGTGATAAACTCAGAGCCATGGGATGATTCCAGTACTATGGAGCAGGAAGCTCCGCCCGAGGAGACTCAAAACCATAACCTCACATTTTCCAAGATTTAGCCAGCGATTATTTTCAGGTGAGGGTAATCCCATTTTTGTCGAATTTGGTGTTTGAAAATTTCAAATTTTGCTTTGTTAAGATATCATGAACATGAAACGTCTTCCTCAGGTTCTCCGCCAGAAGAGAAGACCACGTATTTGTAGGATTCTCTGGGCGATTGTAGTAGGCGCTCTTTTTATCATGACTATTTACATGGTCTACTCACTACTTAGAGCTTACTTCAAATACGATTCATACAACCAATCATCTACTCTTTGGAAAGATAACGTAACCTTACCTGCTCTTACCATATGCAGCTCCAACTACATCAACTACACTTCCATGAGGGAGGCGATGGAGAGAGAAGATCAGGTGGAGGTACTTGAAGCTTTCGATCAGGCGATGGGTCTGTTAGAGAGATACGATGGGGTGGGAAATCTCTCGGAACTGTTTGATGCTAACAAAGAAGTTTTCAAAAAGGTTGTTAAGTACGAAGTAGAGAGGGGTTCTCTACAGATGAAGTTCTCTCTGGATATCAAGACCATGGTGACTGGAACTCCTCACTACTTCTTTGAGAGTATTGGGAGGAATGTAACGGATGTCAAGGAGAGTATAAACCCCACTGAGTTAGGTATGTGTCTAGATATTAACGAGGATGGGTTATTACAACAATCCATCGGGGGTTCCCGAGGGGGCTTCTCAATCAACCTCAACACAAACTTACGAGATTACCTCCCAACTACTTCATCCCACGGGCTTATTATCTTTATCAGGGATCAAGATGAGAATGTTATGATGAATCAGGGTGGATACTTTATCTCACCCGGGACCGAAACTTTTGTTAAGCTCAAAGCTAAGTCTGCTAAACGGTTGGGGCCTCCTCATGGTACGTGTAAAAACGTGGAGAACATTTACAGCAAACGGAATGCGAAGTATGAATCAATTCGAGAGTGTTGGCAACGGCAGGCGGTAGAGGCGATGATTCACAAGTGTGCTTGTATCCCCATATACTTTGCAGGGAAGATGTGGTTTCAGAACAAAACACACATATTAGATGAGTTCATCGAGATAATCAAGCCTATCAGAGCACAAGATTATTACCAATCTTATTATGATGGGACTACAGAAACTGTTAATAAAACATTCTTTAAAGAATCTGGACCTTCCACAACTGAAGATAATATGACTTCAGAAATAGATCAAATAAAGAAACTTTTCATCAATGCTCCTTTCTACAAATACACGTGTGCCCTAATTCACGAGAGAGCTTGTTCAGTTCTGGTAAACAACATGATAAGAAAAAGAACGGTTAAGTTTGAGAGATGTCCGGAACCATGCCAATACAATGAATGGGAGGCAGTGGTAACTTCCTCACCCTTCCCTTCCACCCGACAATACTTCAACATGTTCCTCAGAAGTGTTGAAATGCCCACTTACGAGCACGCGAAGGATAACATTGCACGTTTGCACGTGTATTACGACGATATTCGAGTGCAGGATACGCAGCAAAAGCCAGCATATCAACCCCATAACTTATTGGCAGAATTTGGTGGAACTGTTGATCTGTTTATTGGGTTCTCCTTTTTCACAATCTTACAACTGATTGAGATTATGATTGCAGCCTGCGTCCTGAAGTGCCGCGGGAGGAAAGAGGAAGAAAAGGTTTGAGAGAAAAATGTACAATGAGGCAATGTGAGAATGACAGAATGGATTAATTGACAAATATAAGCGGACAATTAGTTCAACTGTAGGGTGGCCCTGTTTATTGCTGATCGGCTCCCAACTACACCTCTAACACATACTTACAGTGACTCTTAGTATAATCCCAACACTAGGACTGATATTTGCATGATAAAATCCGAAAATCTTTGCACTGGGTTTGATAGGCGGAAAACTCTTGCGCCCCAATGAAGCTGATTGTAATTTGTGATTTGTGAATTCTGAAGTGAAATAGTTGTCTAATAGTTACCAGAGACATGAGTAGAACCTGCTTTTTATGCTGGTTTTTTTGTGCATTAAATGCAAATTGAAATGAGATTGATGATTAAAACTTCTAAAAATAGTGGTCCACTTACCGTCCAGTGTATAGACTCTGATAGAGGGTCTGAGGTTGCTGTAAGTAGTGAGAGAAGGAGATATGAACTGGAAGGCTGTAGGATGGTGGTCAGGCTCCTCACTGTACATCATACTAAAGTGGTCCTGGTGTGTGTGACCCATGTACTGACCCACTACTGTAGACTCAAACCTGATACAAAGTAATCGGTTTAGTGTACCTGACACACAGCCACCACCCCCCATTTAGCATTTCTGATTTCAAGTAACTGAGGAGCACGATATCTTTGTGTCTTCTTATGAAACATCTCAAAACGAACCTGTCAATGATTCTATAGTAGTTCCAACTGAAGGCCTTCATACAATCGCTCCTCCCTGTTGGAATGTGTCCTAGAATAACAACTTTCACTCCGGCCCCCTCCGCCCAGGACAGCTCAGCTACAAGCCACGCCAGCATGTTAGCCGGGTCCCTGTTGTTGAGGTATAGCCAGAAGTTGAGGTTGTCACAGTATTGTGTGTTTAGGGAGATTATACGGAGCCGCTCTGAGTATTGTACTGCGTAGTATCCGGCACTGAGGGGATTTGGGTAATAATGAAAGAGGAGGGTTAGAAATAGGGTTAGTATTGTGTCCATGAGTACATAATTTATCCTTTAATCTGTTGTACCCAAATTTTCATTACATATTCCAAAACGCACACTCCAAAAGAACTCACTATCCGATAGTAGAAAGAGACTCAGGAGGGAGCCATCTAGACCAGACTTTCTGAACGAAGTTGTTCAGCCAGTTGTTGGACAAGTGATCCGTGGTAACTCCAGGAGGTGGGAAACTGAAATGTTTAATTTTCAAAGCAAATTTTCAATTGAAACGATATTTATATGAATATTGATATTTTTGCCGCAAAACTGTATATGGGCAATTTCATGAAACATGAACAAGGAGGGAAAAAAATAAATTTCAGTTATGGCACTAGCTTTGATTGGAGTCTGAAAGAGAAGATTATAAACTGTTAGACACAAAAAACCGCTTATAAATATCTCACTTCGTTTCTGTGTTATCGCGTTTTCAAAATACCCATAAATTGTCATGTTTTACAGGCTAAAACTACTCTATAATAAAAGCTGTTTACTAAAAAGAGATTGTTGTAATATTCATTAATTCTTGATCTGTAAAGGTGCATACCACTTCACTGAAGCTGTATGCAAAATTTGGGACTCAAAATTTAAGCAGATTCGGAGCAATGCTATTCTACTTTCTCCTGTTTTTAGTGTAAATTACTATACATAAAAAACAAAAAAGTTTTCTGCTGGCCACATTTCATGTTATTTCTTGCTGAAATCTTGCTAAAACAAGCTAACTCTGATGTCAAGACATAATGTACTTGTTTATTTAGATCCATAGATATCAGATCATGTCAATACCAGCGTCAAGTAAGTTACATGTCAAGTAATTTACGTGTCAAGTAATTTACACATATGCTTTTTATTCAGTAATAGTAGTAAAACACAACAAGTAACGATTGTCAAACAGAATAAAAGTTATTTAAAAGTGATAATAGATTGGTTCTGGTCAGAATTTCATTAAAGAAATCTATAAAAATGGTTTAAAATGGTTAAAAATTGACTTTTCGAAAATATAATATAAATAATACTTTACTTTACAGAAAATCCAGTGGCCTGCTTGAACACAAATTTTTGAGCTGGGAAACATTCGTACATTTACGCCCACCTACCTACTCTGTATAACTGGGCTAACTGTGGACCCAATCAGTGGATCAATCAACCAATTAAGGGGGCCGGGGGGTCTTCATCAAAATTCCCTCGAAATTGACTTTTTAATTGTTTCTGATAGAAGGGAGTGATATTTATCAGATGCTTTTGGTCCCATGGAAAAATATTATTCCTAGCCGAAATTATTGTCGGTCAAAGATCAGCACTTATGTGTAATTGTATTGCGCGAGCGATTTTCAATCACGTGTCCTGAAAATCGAGTCTAAAAATCTATTTTCTCCTACATGTTTTGAGCAATCACCCTGAAACTTTCAGGATATGTTCTAGAGATAATTTAAAAGAGATGAGCCAAACAGAATTTTGATATAGGCCTTTAAACATATTTTATTCGATTTTGAAAATCTTGAACCTCGTTTTTTGACGATTTTTTGAGGTCCAAGATTTTCAAAAATTGAAAATCGCTCGCGCAATACAATTACACATAAGCGCTGACATTTGACCGATAATAATTTCGTCTAGGAACAATATTTTTCCATGGGACCAAAAGCATCTGATAGATATCACTCCCCTCTATTAGAAACAACTATAAAGTCAATTTCGAGAAAATTTTGATGAAGGCCCCCCCGGCCCCCTTAATTGGCTAATGATAAACTGATATATCATTATTAATCATATATTACATAGTTCATACACTTAGCAAACGAATTAAAGACAAAGGGGCAGCTTTAAACAGTTAAAATCAAAGGATTGTGTAACAGTGTAAACTACTTGACACAAAAGAGTAACTTACTTTACAAGGAACAAAGGCTTCTACAGAACACAGCTATTAACCATTTACCAAAACAAACCCTTTCCAGTACAGGCAAGACATTTGCCAGTGTGCATGAAAAATATTTAAATGTTTACTCTCACACCTGGGCACGAAATGAGATTTCAATACACGTTGGTCAGGAATGTCAATTTGTGCCCTGTAATTTACTTTACATTTTCAAACGTGCCTCACTCAAAAGCCATAGCAGTTGGAGTAAAAATCTTAATATAGCTGTGTGTGGAGTACATAAGAGATGTTTCATGCAATTTATCATGATTCTGTTATGTTTGTGTAATGCTTGAGAGTCAGAATAAGGCCAAATTTTTGTGCAAAGTGTAATTTACTTTACGTGAAATTGCCCATATGGACACGTTCATTTGAGTTTGAGGATATTGGTAAATATAAGTGACCCTATTAAAAGGCACAGTGTAATTGAATTTGTCACACTATGAAATTACACAAATCCTTGATGGTTAGGGTAATCGTCTCATCCTCTATGCTAACTTTGTCACTCAACGATATCTTAATCAGGTGATAAGATATCGCTTAAATACGGCAGGCACGGAAATGGTTACATTGTCACACTATAAACATGTGACGGAGTAAATATAGACCCCTTGCTGCCGTTTTTGACCAAATTTTTGAGTGTCCAGTTGATTAGATGGGTACATATGACCATTACCTACATATTTGACGACTTTTTTCGTTAGATGGTGCACTCAGGTTTACTCTGTCACACATTTAAGAAAACATGTGAAGAATGTTTAGGGCACAATGATAAGCAATGCTGAGTAGTGTAGGTATATTTGATGGCCCGGAAGTGCTAGGAATTGTTATTATATCATATAGTCGTAAGGAATTAAAACACAGAAGGCACAAACAAGTTTACTTTGTCACATAATCTTGATGATATCTGAACAAGTGTGAAATTGAACAAATAATGATATACCAGCTTAAACCCCTTATATTATGTACTATGGATCAAACAACACTGCTAGTTCCATGCACCAGTCACATAATTCATTATCGGGTGGTAATATGTTAACAGTGTCACAATTAAACTGCCGCAACATGGTCAAAAATAGGGTAACTTCGTCACAAAAAAATTATTATAACTCTGTTAGCTCCTTGCTGGCAAAATAACTAGTTCATTGATGATAAAGTTACATAGTATTCTAATAGAGGTATAGCTCTTCAAAATAGGGGCAAGACATGTTTACTTTGTCACATCAGTTATTATAAGACTTAGGTAATCGTCATCAGAGTAACAGATCTTTTTCGTAGTTTGGATCGATTAATATAGGCAATAAAGCATCCTATGCCAATTTTAACACACTATCTTGATATTGTTGGGGCAGGGAAAGTTAATTTTGTCACATTTTCAGCGTCTTTGACAAATTAATCTAAAATTGTTAAACTTGAGCTCTGATGTTCTGGACAATATTCTACCAATCGTTTCTTCAATGAAACAAGAAATTTTTTCAACGAAACAAGAAATTTAATTTTAGCACATTTTTACAGAATAAAAAGATGTAAAACAATTCATAAAATATAATGCCCATTTGGTGTATGACTTTTTGTCCTTGACTGCTAGTTTGGTTTTGGAAGGACAGGTAACTAACGGGGCAAGGAATGCGCGTGCCTGGAAGCTTTTGCACACACCGAAACGCTAGTTCAGTTAAGTTTATAGAGACAAGGCTCAGATTAGGACTAGAAGAAAAATTGTAAGCAGACATTAGGGGTTCTGTTTATAGTTGTTATTATAGGTTGCAGTCTTGTTGTGACAAAAAGTCTACACTAAAACATTCTTTGGTTTATATTGTGTAGTTCAAGGATATAAAATGCAGCTTCAAGCTTTCAAGGTGGATATTGGAGAGCTGGCGAAAGATTATGGCCTTTGTATCAATGGTTATAATAAGCTATAAATATCTTAAACTATACAGTGCTAATTAAAATTTCCTTAAACTTCATTCTCAAATTAGATTTTTTAAATTCAAAAGTAAATATACAATAATTTTATTAAAACTTTCTCACACATACTTTACTCACAGGACAAGACTTGGAAAACAGTAGCCTAGGGTAATTTTAATTGAGATGTGTGTGACCAGCCAGTTATAATGTTTGGGAAATAAGATTTGCGCAGTCAAAATCTTTGACAGTCCAATCAAGCAGGGCGTGATTATGTTGATTCGTTAATAGCGCACGTTTTAGCTTACCTCGCAAGCACATTACACTAGTAGTAAAGTCAGTCATTCTGAATTTTGGGGTTAAAATGTTAAAAATTTTGGTTGATCTAGTGTTGTGATTGTCAGGTGGGTCTGCCTGACAGATTAGAAGGCATGGTTTCCTCGAGGAACACGTGTAACCTTCATGTAAGGATATTGGAGCACGGAATTTCATTATCTTGTAGAGCTCGAGGTAACTGTGGTATGTATAGAGATTTTGTATAGCTAGAATATTATTATGCTTAAATATCGGTTTGGTGTGCTCTTTTATGAAAAATTTTTGGTCAAGTTTCTGGTGTCCTATAGGCCTAGTACGTGCACAAGTCTTAAACTTATCAAGGTACGCCAGCCTGTCACCAAATAGTACTCTGAGACAGTACTTCTGAGCAGTAAATAATGAGCTTATACGTTGTTTCGCTGCCCCACCCCATACAGATATACAGTAGGAAAGATGTGATTCGAACAGAGTATAATATAATTGTTGGTGTAGAAATTCTGGAAGGGAGCAGCGAAGTCTACATAAAGTGGATGTGGAATGATTTAGAGTTCGCTTAAGTGCTTTGATGTGATCTTCCCATGATAGGTTCTCGTCAATTATAACACCCAGAAATTTTGCGGATGAAACCTTTTTGATTGGAAAGTTGTCTATAGTTAATACAACTTCAGGGTGTGATAAAGTCTCTAACTTAGAACCTGCCATGGTGGGTTTGAAGTGTATGTAGCAGCACTTAGACATGTTTATATGTAACTTATTCGCTCTCATATAAGACTTTAATGATGACAAAAGCTCATTTCCTCGTTCATATGCCTCACGTTTTGTTTTTCCGACAACAAATATATTGGTATCATCAGCAAAGGTAACAAATGATCCTAGTTTAGAACTGTTTGTGATGTCGTTCATATAAAGAAGAAATAGGAGAGGTCCAAGAATTGAACCCTGTGGGACACCAAATCGAATAGATAGGGTATCTGATTTTTCTCCTACAACTTCGGTGTATTGTTGCCTGTTTGTCAAGTAGCTTTTAATGAGGTTATTTGCAACTCCTCTCACTCCACATCCCTCTAGTTTTATAAGAAGTGTTGAATGGTCGATAGTGTCAAAAGCTTTGCTTAGGTCAATGAATATTCCTAAAACATGATTCTTAAGTTTAAGAGATTTCGTAATCAAATTTACAGAGTAATTGACTGCATGAGATGTAGAGTGAGATTTCCTAAATCCAAACTGCGTCTTCGATATAACTCCCTGGGAGCTAACAAATCCGTATATTCTAGAATATATGAGCTTTTCAAAGATCTTACCGAAGACGGACAGTGTGGAGATAGGACGGTAGTTCTCAATTTCTTCTGGGTTACCTTTCTTATATACAGGTGTTATTTTACCAGTTTTCAGGACATCAGGAAATATACCTTTGGTCATAAGGATATTGAAGTAATTCGATAATACAGGTGCGATTACATGAGATGACTTTTTTACTACACTTATATGGGAATGTCACTGGCTTTACCATTTTCGAACTCGCTTATGATTTTCAATATTTCGTTTGGGGAGCAATCTTCTAGCCTAATATTTTTTTCATTTCTTGGGTTCAGGAAGTCATAGAAAGTTTTCATGGGTAATATAGGCAGGCCATCAGATAGATTATGCAGTGTCTCATTCAGCGTTGGTGCAATAGAGACAAACCAAGCATTGAATCCATTAGCAATTGCTCTTCTATCAACTATTCTTTGGTTATCAATGATAAATGGGGGCTTGGTTTGCCTCTTCTTTTTGCCCCTGAGTTCGTTAATAATTTGCCAGGTTTTCTTGCTGTTTTCACAGTTGTTTACGATTTCGTTACAGTAATGCCAACGTTTGGCAGCTTTAATGATAGCTTTGAGCATCCTACGATAATCACTAAATACTTGGTAGAGCAAGAAATTACCACCAGGGTTCTTATTAGTAACGGTGTCAGACCACTCCTTACGCAGTTCATGCTTTCTTTCTACAGACTGGATGATACTGTCTGTAATCCATGGGTTAAGTTTGGGAGTTCTTTTTGTCACTTTTGGTACCTCCAGTTTGCAGTGTTTGTCAAGTGTCTGGTCAAAACATGCCGTGAACTCATCAAATTTTGTTGAAGGAGTGAGCTGGTTTACCCTCACCTCAAGTTCAGATACAAAGCTTTTTAATTTGGAACTTGAGTAATCATAATAGCGGACATGTTTCTGAGGCTCTGTATTGCGAGGGGTCTCTACTGAAGTGAAGGTAAATATAGGGGCATGCTCACCAAGCCGTTCTTCAATAACACCTGATAAGACTATATTCTCAATTTTATTTGTTAAAATGTTATCGATGCAGGAACATTTACAGTTTTGACGAAAATGTGTTGCAATGGAGATAGTCGGGTAAAAGCCATTTCTGTATAAAGTATCCTCAAAGAGCTGGGAACTGGTAGATATATTAAGTATGTTTGAGTTAAAGTCTCCCAACAAATTGACAGTTTTCCCATTTAGCTGCTTTGCAAGTAATTCAAGGGTTTCGCAAAAGCTATCAAAGCAGCCATTAGGGGGTCGGTAGATGACTCCATGAACAATTTTGCAGCCTGCGCTATCTGTGGTTTCAACAAAGAGACTCTCAATATTTGTAGTACAGTGTGATACATTTTCTAAGACCACAGTGTTCAAATGGTCAGATACATAGAGTGCAACACCTGTGCCTTTTTTCTTACCTGCCAATGTTTCGTGATAGAATCCTGTGTATGCTGGAATTTGGTACAGACCCTGCTGTGCAGGATCAGTATTGGTTTCAGCAAGACCAATCATATCAAACGAGTGCCCTATACTTTTGAGTTCAATTAGGAAGCTATCAAAGTTAGATGCGTTTCCATCTATATTGTAGAATAAAGTTGATAACATAGATTTTTTTGAGGAATTGAGCTGCTTGATTGCATTTAAGAACTCGAGTTTAGAGTAGCGACGGCAACTTTCAAGTACATGGGCATATGATGCAATTAAGGCATCCTCCTGGTTTCTATTATCATAGAATCTATCAGAATCAATAGATTCCTCATCAGATGGAAATGGGCAGTACCGTTCTTCTGCAGAACTGGCACACTCGCAGCACATCCATAGTCCATTTTTTTTAAATTCTTTCTGAAAGAATGTTGAATTCTAATAGAGTTATAGATCTTCAAAATTGAGGCTAGACATGTTTACTTTGTCACATCAGTTATTATTAGAGTTAGGTAATCGTCATCAGATTAACAGATCTTTTTCGTAGTTTGGATTGATTTATATAGGTAATAAAGCAGCCTATGCTAATTTTTACACACTATCTTAAAATTGTTGGGGCAGGAAAAGTTAATTTTGTCACATTTTTAGTGACTTTGACAAATTTAACCTAAAATTGTTAAACTTAAGCTCTGATATTCTGGACAATATTCTAATAAAGATATAGAATATAGATCTTCCAAATAGGGGCAAGACATGTTCACTTTGTCACATCAGTCATTATAAGAGTTATTATAAGAGACTATTTTATTCTATTATCATTGTTTTTAACCTATTTACGATTTCGTATCATTTTTTGTGACAATGTAAACATCAACTGATCATGATCTTAACTTGCATCAACTACATTGTCATCATGTAAAGTTTTCCCGCCTTTCAAACCAAAATCAGATATAAATAATTCGCCCAAAATTTAAAATTCCATATATTGTGACAGAATTAACCTCATTTCCCAATAACCAAGTGCCTGTATTAGCTAACTATTCGAAACAACATATTTTAGGACTATGATTGGTAGATCAACCATCAAATAATGAGTTAAAAGGTTTTTGAGGACACCTCACAGTAGAATAGAGGTATGGTATTCTGAGTGTGACAAAGTTACCCAAATATTGCCTTGTAACCGTTCGATCCGTGCCCTTTAACCAATGTTGTATCATAATTGTTAGATTGACCTAATCTACTATATTTCAGACTAAGAAATGATAATTAGACAACTGCAGTTAACTAAGTCACACAAAATGTGACATTTGAACCATTATAGTGCCTAACAACAACAGATTTTCTTTCTGAGCAGTGCATATGGGAGTATGGATTACGTGGCTAATGTTCAGAACTTCTGAACGTGCTAGGTTAATAGATGTCAAAATTAAGCCACTATCGTCGAAAACGCTATTATTTTTGTTTACCAATATCCTCAAACTCAAATGAACGTGTCCATATATAATCCACTATTTCAATATTGTGACTTATATAAAAACCTGTCGACAGGTGAGCTCTCGTGGTTACCCAGAGAAGGGTATACCCTGGTGTCAGGGAAGTACTGGCTCATCAAATCAGCTGTGACCTGAATGTGTTGGAGCTGGTCCGCGCGAGACTGTTTCCACACATCGTGCGCTGGGATGTCTCCAGTCCAGAATATCACCTCAGGTTTAATCTGCTGACTTATGAATTCGAGGGCGTTTTTGTATGTCCTCAGAGGAATATCACAGGGAGCATTCATAGATCCCCAAAACCCAGCTTCATCGTCTTTCAGCCCTTTACCTAAAATTATTAATATACTGTTTAATGAAAAGTCACCAGTTTCCAAGAGCTAATTGGAAGCCAATAATTAATTAATGAGTAATTGATTTATGAAGAAGAAAATTGATTGATAAACCACCTAGATCACGGACAATTATTTCCCAAAAAGCAGCGATGGTATAATTTGTCACTTACCATCCCTGCAGCAAAGCGGCTCTCCACATTTCTTAACACTCCCAGGTGTGTACTGTAAATCAATGTGGACATCTGATAACTGTACCACTTTCAGAGTGGGGAGCCCATCTTTGGGTCTGACAAGTGGTTCTCCAGTTGGTTTGTTGCCGGGGATTGTTACGTTCCAAAATGTGAAAATATCCGGTGGTTCGCCACAAGAGGGGCCAATAGCAGCGTAACACAGCCACGTTGGGTGGAGGATCAAACGGAACAATACTGTTACAAACTCATCTCGGAATTCTTCAGTGATATATGAACAGACCTGGTAAATGGTAATGTTGTGAGAATGTTACAATTTCTTATTAGAAATAAAATTAAACCAGAAAATTAAACAATTTGCACTATACACATTATCATGCTCTCTCACCCTTTCATTCACTTAAATTTCTATAAAACCTGTTGGCACGATATTGATTGATGTGGGGAGAAAGTAAGGGGGAAAATGCGCTTTATTTTTGTTTTTTTGTAGGAACAGAAATATTGATAAGTTAAGCTACATTACAATTCAGTTAAAAGACTGACCCTTTCATCCTCGATTTTAAGAATGATGCAAGCTTTTGTGATCAGACTAACTATTTCACTACTCGAAGCATTTAATTGAACGAGAATTTGTAGTGTCTCGACAAACACCTCACAAGCAACACATTTTACTTCTCTGAAAAATGTTTTAAGATGATTAAAGAAGACATTTGGAGAATTACCCAAATGTTATTACAAAATTATAGTTATACTAAATTATATTTCACACAAACATTTGAATCCTCTCATTCAGGATGATATGAATTTATAATAACTTAGCGTACTTTAAGTAAACAAAAACGTCATATCTTACAGTTTCCCCTCTAGCAGAGCATTTACAGTTTTATTAGTTGTTCGCAGATAATCAAGAGTAGTAGAGTGTTCTTCAGACTCAGGAGTAAGGTGATAGCAAGCTGTAGACGAGAAGAAACATAAACATAAGACAGCTAACAACATTTCCTTCTTATAGGATCATCTTTAGTAACCCTTCCTGTAGATTATAAATAATACAAACACATTCATCTTGATAAACGCTTGATTTCGGTACTTTTAATCAAAAATCACAGAAAATTTCATAAAAATTGAAAATTACATTTTAAGATGCAATAACAGTTCAAAATGAGACCACAAAGAAATATAAGCAGTCGGTTTTCAAAGCAACAGATACTGGGTACAAAAATGTGATTTCAATTACCGATGACATCAAAGGTTTTCATTTAGATAAGGAGATGATAACAATAAATAATATAAGCTGATAACAATGTAACCAGCTGCCAGCCAAATGGCATGGTTTTACAAGGTATTAAATTTCCCAAACTTCAGTCTCAGGTGTTTCTATGTACATAATATATCTTTATAGTCCTAGAAGTGTTATTTAGTCACAACACGAGTGTGGGAACTCCAAGCAAAGTTTGATCCATAGGATTTCGTTTTCTTGGATACTTTCTTAGGTTGAACAACCTCATACTCAAAACCATATTTTGCACAATATGCGATCGCAGCCTCAGGAGTAGGGAAGCTAAGATGTAGGTTTGAAAGCGGATCACATGAAGAGGCCCATCCCATCAGTGGATTTTCATATCTCTCCTGGGTATCCCATTTAAGTCTCCATTTATCTTGACCATGAGTGCCACTCTGCATCACGTTCTTTGCAGGGATGAAGATCTTCACTTTGCGAGTCTGCTCAACCTGACTAAACCCTGAGATTTGAGTCAGTCTGTTGACATCTTTGGAATCTGCAATATTGCTAACCTCCACTTCTGTTTTCTCTTCTGTTCCATACGAAACAACATCGGAGCGTGTGTTGAGTGTCCTAGCCAATTGGAAAATTGGACGTGCTTTTATAATTCTTGTTAACATGCTAAAAAATAGAGAATATTAATGTTTTATTCGTAAAAGATTAATTACTATAAAACAATTTGGTATATCCAGTATCCACTGATATGCTATATGGTAGACAGTTGATGATCCCTTCACCAACAGTGACTGGTAGATTATTATTATTAAATCTAAAATAGCTAATAATTTAACTAATTATTTACAGGCCCCTTTAAGTGAGCAATAACATATGCTTTATAAATTATATCTACAAATTCAAGTTTATTTTTTTGATTCTGCCAATTGCTTCTTTATTTCGGTCTTTCATTGTGGGAGTTTCCACATTTCATGGTTGAGAATGATCAACATAACATATATATGATGCTTGACCCCAATTTACCGCAGATGCTTCCTTTCCCCCAAACCCCGCTGTAAATCAGGGAAGTTTGATTATGTTTTTAAAGTAGGATAATGTTTTGATAAATTTGTTGTATTTGATAAATAATTAATGTTGGTGGGGAAATATTTATTACATATTTTGTTACATAGTGCAGTGCGATGATAGTTTGTAGACATGTGTGATGATGTGATGTCATAAATTTTACTTTACTTCACTTTACTTTACTTTACTTTAAACTCAGTTGATTTGTAGTAATATTATATGTTAACACATAACAGTACACTACAATGTAAATATATTGAAGAGGTATTCCAAGAAGATTTTTGGTCTTTTGGCAGGGCCATCCTCATTTAACACTAAATCACGATTTTCCGACAGACCCTTAGCTATCTTTCTAAACTAGGTGACACTGGGAACCAACCCTCTTAATCCTTATTTTTTATTTTCGGTCGCCCAGCCAAAGATTATCACATGACTTTGGTTTTACAGTTTTATAATTACCTGGGGACCCCAGGCTATTATAGTTTTAAAAAGAATATGATTTCTAAATGTATTGTAAATGACTTTCATTTTTGGAATGTTTCGAAAGAAGTTTTAACAAGAATTGAAGGTACCAGTTATATCAGTAATAAGGAAAAACACAATGATTATCTACATGGTTCCATCCTTATGTAGCAAAGAAACGTTTTATAAATCTTTACTCCACTGGGAAGTATGAATAAATTAAATTTTGCAGCAATAGCAGCAAATCTGGGGAAACTTTGAAATACACCAATTTGAAGCATTTAACCCCCCCTTAAAAATCAAAGATTATGAATTTTAGTAATCTGATTATTTACATAGGTCCAAAAATGTCATAGCTTCATGATAGTGCAACGAAAAAAATCTCAGAACATTTTGGTGCTGAGTTAGGTGGTTAAGTAGTCGAAAAATGACTGATTTGTTAGTGGACATTTTTTATACCTCTAACACCCAAACCCTTACTACAGTGAAGATATAAGTACTACAGTTAATATTGATGGTCATTATTGAACAAAAATGGTTCATTGACACATAGTTGAAGAAGGAAATTAAAAAAATTAATAAATGTGGTCTGTGGAGTGGTTTATTTGTTTATGTTATAGTGTACGCGTGCGCGCGCGCTAGCGCGTACTTAACCATCTGTAGGCCAACATATTTAGTCTAGGCTTAAATTCTTTATATATTATGTCACCACTATGGTGCCCAATACTTTTAGTGAAGGTTTGATGTAGAACAGTTAACCACCAACTGTGGTATATCAAAAAAACCATGTTTGTACGCGTGCGCGCGCGCTAGCGCGTACTTAACCACCTGGTATGGCACAGCATTGAAATATCACCATAATTTCAAAAGCAGAGGTCACCATTCAGGTGCCCAAAACTTTTGACTATGGTCCCAATACCATAAAACCTTAGATGTGGCCTCAATGTGGTTAAAACATGTTTATTTTGGACTTTCGGTCAACAGAAGCCATCACAAATTAACCATTATTCAGCAACCTCCGAACTTTTTGTGCCTTATTTTGTTTTGATATTTGATTATGAGAGATAGCTGGAGGATAATAAGTGATTTTAAAGATAATGCAACAAAATGTGTGGCCGTATGGTGGTTAAAACGACCAAAAACACTGATTTTGGTCAATTTTAGACCTTTATTAACCATGATGGACGCAACATAGGACTCAGCAATGTTTCTGGTCATATAAATGAGCAGGTAGTTATATCTAGATAATGTAGCATGGCCAGCTATAGCTTTACAAAGCTAATATGTGCTCTAAAAATGGTTAATTAGTGCAAATATAGGGTATTTTCGAGACATTTTAACCACCATAGCTGCACATTGATCATAATGCATGAACTTGGGGTCAATTATGCATTTGCAAACAATTATACACTCATTTGGATAGCAAACCATTATCTGAAGTTCATATTGTGGTTAATTTTCACTTTAATAGATGCCTTGTTCAACAGCCTAGCAAGTAATATAGCCCTTTTAACCACTTTTATGACAACATTTCTTGATAAATTTTATCAAGACCCTTCAAATGTCCTTTGTTGACCATAAAATGTTGACTAAAATCATCAATAATGTTTTGATTGGTGGTTAACAATAAATTTTGACATTTTAACCATCTTTTTAGCACTTTTTACGAATATTAACCACCTCAAATCAACCATACTATTAAATTGCACATTTGTGATAAAAAATTATCATCCATGCACAAATGAACAACCAAAATATACATCTATAATCAGAGCAATATTTATAGCTCACCGTTCATCTTCAATTTAACCACCATTAGGACCACAAAATGCCCCCAATGAGGTTTGAAAACTTTTGTGATAGTTGCACCATGATATGATCTCAATATAATGACTACTCAGTTCATAATATCATATCTCAAAATGGTGGTTAACCCTAAAACTGGTATTTTAACCACCATAGTGGCCACATAGATGACCCATTAACCACAATTATTCAACATGACCGTACTGCAGTGTTTTGTGCGCCAGAAAAACATCACTCCAACATTGAGATTAACCACAATGAGCTGCAACATAATGTTGAAGTCAACATACTCAAATTGTGTGAAAAAAGTCAATGTCCACCAAGTTTCCCCAGATTTGCTGCTATTGCTGTTTGTAATGTTGTTTTTATTCATGATTAATATTTGATAAATTATTACCTTTAAATTTGATGGAGAAATAGTTATTTTTCCACGTAGTGTGATGATACTTTGTAGACATTAGTGATGATGTTATGTCATAATTTTTACTTTACTTTTATTTTATTATAATAGTTGCTAAGTCATTTAATATCCATTTTGCGTTTGTTTCTCCCGTTTTTCTTCCCTTGCGTTGCAAGCCCTGTCTCTTGTAAAAACAACCACTTTTGTAGATACACACAGTCTCTACGCCTTTATCCTCTGGTCCCTAGGGTCAGCTGACTCCGGGCCAGAGGAAAATTACCGATTGCCAAGGTTTGATGCCTAGGCAGTCGAGACCTCTTATTGAGACCCGATATAATAATAATAATAATTTAAACTTATAGATTATAGTGGCACAACAACTTAAAATGCACAGGTGTGCCACGAAAACAAGTCAGGACACAAGAAAACCTGAAAAGCAATCCACATTTAGGTTCCAAACCATAGAAAATTGTAAAGACTTGATACACTAAATTACAAGGTTAAGGGTATGCACTTAACAGTAAAAACATTGAAAAAATAATAAATTATGTTCATAAACATAGCCTGGCGTATTTGAACCCTCTCAAATGCGCAACCGGGCGCGTTTTTGTGATTTAACAATCCAATAATAAGCAGTTACATTGACACTGCTTGGAGTCTGATAACATGTTTTATCTAACGAGTTTGACGAGTTGGATAAAACATGTTATCAGACTCCAAGCAGTGTCAATGTAACTGCTTATTATTGGATTGTTAAATCACAAAAACGCGCCCGGTTCCAATGATCTACAAAATGATGCTAGCGAACGCAACATTTACATCTGAAAATAATGACCGATGATATTACTACATACAATATTCCAGAGTCAAACTTTCTAGAGGACACATGCTTATCTTGTTTTGAAATAAATAAAATAAATGATAAGGAACTATATTATTGCAGTGAGAACTTCGTTTTATTTAATCGAATGTGCTTCGGATATAATCGTTTGGCTGTGGATTTACTGCGCTTGCATCGATAACCGGTTTTTCACGATAAATGCTGATGTGACATCCTAAAGCTTGCAGTTTATT